CATCCTGGCACCCCTGGGGCTGGACCCCGAAGGCCTGGCTCTCCTTGTTCCTGGCTCACCCTGCCCCCCAGGTCTCCTGAAGTCATCCGTCTGCCCTTGTCTGTGTCTCACCCCTGGGACCCAGATGTCTCCTCTGCCCAAGGGTAGGTTGTGGAACTCAGCCCTGTCAAAAGGCTGACTAGGGCCGCGTTATTTTGTTTCCCCAAATGTTAATATGCTGACGCTAAGGGGACTTGAAACCATGTATGTCATCGGAGGAAGGGTTGGGCCGGGGCGGCTTTGCCTGGAGAAGACCGGAAGGGGACATGAAAGCTGTCAGTGGGGATTTGGAGGCCTGTCATGTGGCAGAGGGAGCCGGCTTGTTCCCAGCAGCTCTGCAGGGCAGGCTTAGGATCGCAGGGGGAAGATCGAGGGAGACAGGCACAGCAGCCGTAGCTGCCAGTGCCCGTTCATGGAGGGTCTGCCTCCTGCAGAAGCAGCTTCCTGTCCCTGGCAGGGCTGCCCAGGGGGTTTGTTCACTGATGGGGCCTGACTTCCGAGGTCCCTTGCAGCCAGAGACACAATGACCCCACGCTCTGGGAATGGTTTCACTCTGGCTGGCAGGCAAGAGCATGCTTGCCCCCTTTGGTGGCAATATCGCATGCAGGCCAAGGGCGTTGTGCCGCTTGTTTGTGGCATCAATGCAGTTTCGCACTGGCAAGCATTTTGTTTTACCCTAGATTCAAGGGCTGTTCGAGGGTTGCTTGATGGGGGGGGGTGGTGCGGGGGGTGGGCAGGGAATCATTGGGAGAGAGATCAGCTGTGTGGAAGATCATAGCATCCACACATGCTGCAGGGGGTCCTAGGGTCACTGATCCAGGAGGGTTCAACTTTCCTTAGTAATATTTCCTTTTCTTCACATTGGACGTTCCATGATATGAAACAGGGAAATCAGGTTCTTTTGGTTGCAAACGGCTTGAGGGGACACAGCCCTATCTACTCAGCATCCATCTCTGTCTGTGGCCCCTGAGTAATCCCTGGGAACCCTAGGTGTTCCAAAAAACACACTTAGAAACCACTGATCACCCTCCTCTGTAGTGGGTGTGATGTCGGCAAAGAGTGTAGGCTCAAAGTCAGACTGGGTTTGAGCCCTCGCTCCAATACCTACTAGGTGAATGACCTTGGACAAGGTACTTGACCCCCTTTGTGCCTCAGTTTCCACGTCTGTAAGATGGGGACAATCTTAATGCTCCCCTCAGCTATTGTGCGGACTAAGTTGTCACTGCATGTAGAACACCTTGAACACCTGTTCCTCATCAGAGCAAGGACAGGTCAGCTCTTCCACACAGGGGGGCACTGACATCTAACAGGCTGAGTGCCTTGCAACTGGTGCCGCACATCTGGTTAGTGGCCAGAATAGGGCCTTGGCCCCCTTCTCCCAGACTCCCAAGTTCGGTGCTCACTCTGCATGCCCGCAGAATGCCGACTGCTTAAGACAGGTGTGTTCTGGATCTCTGTGGACTGTTCAGAGGGGCCACTGGCTTCTGGGATTGACAGGCTTTGTCTTCAGGGGCTCTTCAACTTACAGCACAGGTCAAGGAACAGTTTTTGATAAGGACCTTGTTTGACAAAGAGAAAAGGGAGCTCCAGGGAGGTGACCCCGTGGAGAATTGCCCTGTGGCCAAGAGATGTGGGGCAGGGTGAGTGCAGAGAGGCACCAGAGCAGAGGAATCACCTGGGGTGTAATTGCCAACCACAGCTCCCAGTTCACGAGCTTGCTGACTCCTTCTCTGATCCTGCTCTCCCCGCCGCTCAAAAACCTTCCATGGCTCCCACAGCCCACAAACACAAGGAGCCCCGCAGCGTGAAAGACAAAACCCCTCTCCATCAGGCCCTACTCTCATTCCCAACCCAGCCTCCACCACTCCCTCCCCATCCCCTAGTCCAGATCTTCCAACAACACGCCTGACTGTTCTTCCCCTCTCACGCCTTTGCTCTTGCTGTTCCCTCTGCCCAGACTGTGCTACCTTCACGTCCTGTCCCTCTCCCAGACCACACCAAATACCACCTCCTCGGGGAAGCCTTCCCAGATGGCTCCCTCGTCCAGCAATCACTTCTCCGTCTGTGCTCCTGGAGCTCTCTGTACAGCTGAGAAAGAACCGGCACTGCCAACCCTAATAATAATCCGTATCTGCTCAGTCGCTTCAGCCGTGTTCAACTCTTTGCAACCCCATGGACTATATAGCCCACCTCTGTCCATCAGATTCTCCAGGCAAGAATAATGGAGTGGGTTGCCATGCCCTTCCCCAGGGGATGTTCCCGACCCAGGGATCAACCTGCGGCTCCTGCATTGCAGGTGGTTTATGTACAGCTGAGCCACCAGGGGACCCCCATTCTGTATCTACTGAGTACTAACAACAACTTCATGAGTGGGCACCATTATTATCTTCACTTTATTTTTTTTTAATGTGGTGGTGGGGGATTAATTATTTTATTATATTCTTTTGACCATGCTGCTCAGCATGCAGAATATTAGTTCCCCAGCCAGGGATTGGATCTGTGCCCCTGTGGTGGAAGCTCAGAGTCTTAACCACTGAACCACCAGGGATGTCGCCTGTCTTCACTTTGTAGAGAAAATGGAGACACTGAACGGTTAAGACACTTGTTCAAGGCCACCCAGCTATGAAGAGGCAGACTGTACTCACACCTGAGTCTGTTCTTGGGTCTTCTGGAGTCTTGAGCTTCAGCCTGGGTGTCAATCTGCCACTCCCTGGTTCTAGGACACATGACATCCTAAGAACAATTAGCTGAATTCTCACCTACCCCCTGGGCCTCAGGGTTGGTTCTTAATAGACGGTTGTTGAAGCAAGTTCAGCCCAAGGAGGGAATAACTTTATTTTAAAAAGTGAGTTCAGCAAAGGAAGGTCTGCTCTCCCAGCCTACACAGCACCCCACCCCCATGCCCTCTCCATGGGGGTAGGCGCAGCTCCCATGGAGAGAGCTGGAAGGAGCGCTGGCTCCATTCCCAGAAGCTATGACCGCACATCTCTTGACCACAGGCCTGAGTCTGGGGGCTTATGGTATTATGGTCCCTCCGTACCCTCTGGAGCCTGTAGGTTCAAGATGGAAGCCTCCCATCTGGCCTGGGAACCACGACACAGGTGGCCCCTCCAGCCTCAGCAGAGCTGTGCTCCTCTGCTGGAGGGAGGGAAAGCCAGGACCACTTTCCCAGTGTCTGCAGGCTGTCCAGGCCAGAGCCCCTGTGTGCTGTGGACTCTGAGGTTAACAGTGAGCTGGGTGCAGTGGCTTTCTGGGGGCCGAGGCCAGGGACTCAGGACAGGAGGAAGTGTAGATAGCCTGGCAGGTGGACACAGAGGGACCTGGCAAGAGTGGCCTTTCCCCACAGCTTGGAGACTCCAGAAGTTGGAGTGGGAGGGGTGGAGCCCAAGGGGGATTCTGAGGAGACCAGACAACAGGACCAGCTGCCCAGAGCGCTGGAGTCGTGGTGGGAGGCTGCCCAAGGGCCCTGAGAACTGGAGCTGACCACTGGGCTCTCCTCCACGAGGCCCCACGGCAAAGCGACAGGGACCAGGCACCCAGAAGCTAAAACCGCAGGAACCGGGAGCAGACAGATATCTTCGACTCTTAATTACCACCATCGCTGAAACCAAAAAGCCCACACAGGCTCCTCTGTAAATAAACAGCGTCTCCTTGACTTGAAGATCCATCCGGGCGCACACATATTTACAGAGCACGTGTGATCTGTGCCGGTCTCTGTCGACTCACTCCCCCACACAATAATCTCTGGTCAAGTTTCGCTTCCTTCCATTTAGGTTTGCGCTCGTGTTCACAACCACCTGTGAGGAGGGAGGGAGGAGGGTTAATCCACATTTACAGCAGGAGAAAACCGAGCAGTTAAGTGACTAAAGCCGCATAGCTAGCAAGCAGTGCGATTTGCACAGAAACCTGGGCTTTGGCTCCCAGGGCAAGTCCATCAAGGTTCCCATCCTGGACGCTTAGGGCCCCTGGGCTCTTCGGATGGAAGCTGCGGGGCACACCCTTCCCCACCCACCCCTGCCAGGAGCACACAGGGGCACTGTGAGCAACCAAGGCGAGGCTGAGCTGGGGTGAGGGGGAGTGGTGCAGGGAAGGACTGGAGGCAAGCTCTGGGACTAGGGCAGGGGAGGACAGGGTGTGCAGAGGTCAGTTGGGTGGGCTTCCAGCCCAAGAAAAGCTGAGCTAAAGGGGATGAGGACTGCTCAGGGGGTTCCAGATTCCCTCTTTGACTACCCATGTGGCTGGCACTTGCGGAGGGTCTGTGAGGGCCCATAGGGCACATGGCCTCAGAGGGGATGTGGGAACTAACCCTTTTGGCAAATGAGGCTGGAGTTGTGGCTCAGAGTATGTGTGTGGGGCCAGGGGCGGGGGTTGGGAGCATTCTTGGCAGGAGCTCTTTAAGAGGTACTTGAAAGCCCAGTGGGGGCTTCCCTGGTGGTTCAGACAGTAAAGAATCCGCCTGCAATGCGGGAGACCTGGGTTCCATCTCTGGGTTGGGAAGATCCCCCGGAGGAGGGCATGGCAACCCACTCCAGTGTTCTTGCCTGGAGAATCCCATGGACAGAGAAGCCTGGCGGGCTACAGTCTATGGAGTCACAAGGAGTCAGACACGACTGAGCGACTAAGCGCAGCACAGAAACCCCAGTGAGGTCTCGGTAGGTCAGGGGCACCCTTGACCTCTCCCTTGGGGGGCATGAAGTTTGGAGGATGGGGAGTACCCCATTCAGGGTCCATGCAGTGATTGAGAGACCTACCAGAGGCGCCCATTTTACAGATAAGGAAAGGGAGGCGCAGAGAGAGGAAGAGACCACCCAAGGTGAGCCCGCAAAGCAGAGCTGAGTGTAGAACCTAGGGCGCACAGCTCCCAGTGTGGGTTGGGCGGCTGTTCTGGGGCGGGGCTCTGGGCTGCGGGAGAATGGCTGGCCTTGACCAGTGAGGGTCTGACCTGTGCATGTCCTCTCCAGGGGCGCCCACCCGCGATGTCCTGCTGGTCTCTGCCATCATCACCGTCAGCCTTAGCGTCACTGTCGTCCTCTGCGGCCTCTGCCACTGGTGTCAGCGCAAACTGGTGAGGCTCCTAAGGGCCCCCGGGGGACGCGGCCTGGCCCTGCACCCCGCCCTCCTCAATGACAGGCTCGTGAACGCTCTCAAGGGCGCGCGCATACGACCCATCTGCCCACGGAGCCGGGCACACTTCCGTGGAAATTCACCCCGGGCACTCTGTGTCTGCTGAGGCTTGATCCCATATGTCTGTGTGCACACCCAGAGCCACACACCTAGGCACACACTGGTGGACAGACAGGGGTCTCACGGACGTTCGTACGCTCGTGACTACGCTCACACACGCCCCACTTCCCGCAGAAAGGACCGCAGGCACACACGCGCAGACTGAGAATGGAGACCCCCCTCCCACCCAGCGCCGCGCGCCCCCGCCCCTCCGCCCGCGCGTTCCCGCCACCACCCAGGGCTGGGCGTGGCCGAGCCGGGTCTCCTGTCCAATGAGGAGGCCCCGCCCGCCCCGCCCCGCCCCCTCCCCAGCGCCCGCCCCGCCCCGCCCCCTCCCCCAGCGCCCGCCCATCCATCCTGGTTCTCGGGGGTTTGTACAGGCACAAACGGCTTCTTTTCATTTTTAACGAGGGCTGGGAAATTAACGAGCAGGATTAGGCCATCAATAAGTAACGAGACCGTCAGGAGGGACATTCATCACCGGAGGGCGCCGGGAGGGGGAGTCGGCCTGAATCACCCTCCTGCACCCCCGCAGCTCCCCAAGGGTGGCTGCCCTTGAGGCCGCCCCCCCATCCCCACTTCTGCTGCCCCAGTTTAGAAGTGCTGCGGGGTCTTTGAGGGCTGCAGGGGGCATCCCCGGAGGTGGGCCCAGAGGTGCCCCAGGTGTGGGGCGTTTCTGAGGCTTCTGTGAAGAAGGGTCCCTGGCAGACACCTTCCATGCCCCAGATAAGGATGGTGGGAGTGAGGGCAGGGTGCCACATTTTTCTCCCTGCCCGATCACAGAGGGGCAAGGGGCAGGGAGGGCTGTGGCCATGGGTACCTTGTAGATGGGGGCTCCATGCCTCAGTCCTAATGAGAAGGGACAGATACCCCTGGGGCCAGACCCAAGAGGCCAGCATGCTCCCTTCAGGAAAGGCAAGCCCGGGAGTTGGGGGTATTATTTATCCTGGGATGTGCAGTTTCAGGCAGCCCTGTTCCCTGGGGAGGAGCCAGGGAGCAGGCCAATCTGGCCCCACGCGCGAGAGTGTGCGAGTATGTGTGTGTGACTCGGGCCCACTCCTTGTGTGCAGGTGCCAGGCTGGCTGCCCTGCATTGTTCCTGGATTTCCTGTCTCTGAGTCTGTCTCCGAATTCCAGGGGAGGTGGAGGAGGGGGCTTGGCCACGTGCCTGTGTGTGCCAGTGTCCTCGGAGGCCTGGGAGGGGCTGAGCCTGCGCTGCAGTCCTGTGCGTCTCGTTGCAGGGCCCCTTAGGCTGCCCATCTGTCTGTATTTGAAGGCAGGGGACTGTTGTATGAACAAGCACTGCTGGTGACCTTGAGTGAGGGGTCTTTTGTGCTGGGGGCGTCAATTTTGAGGACATTAGTGCTGTGTGTATGTGTGTGTGTGTGTGTCGCCCTGCATGGTGGGATGTGGATCATCTCATCACATCCCCATGTAAGTGCTGCAGTGTGTGTGTGTGTGCGTGTGTGCGTGTGTCTGTGCGTGCGTGCATATCTCTGTGTTTGCTGAGGGCCTCACCCCCACTCACCTGGGGACAGGAGTTCAGAGATGACAGCTTTTGTAGCAGGTGGGGGGGCTGTCACCGCAGGAAGTGCCTTGGGAAGCTGAGAGCTGCAGAACCTTCCCTGGCCCAGCCCCTCCTCCCAGCCTCCAGCCAGGAGCTTCCTCGGGGTCCAGACCAGACTGGCACGTGTCCCTCTTTGACTTGATCCTCTGAGCTGCTGCTAGAACATTACTTTGCCGAAGACCCCCCAGTGCTGCCTCCCCTTCCCCCCTGCCCCTCCACCCAGGTCTCAGAAGCCAGGGAGCTTTTTGTCCAGATTGTCTCCATGTTCCAAGGAAGGGGCTTTCAGCTGCACCCACCCCCACCCCCACACAGTTGCTGGGCTCTCCTTGCCTGCTTGTCCCCTCAGCAGCAGTGACGTGATACCTGACAGCCCAGATCCCATTTCCAAACATTAATAACTTCCTTAATCTCCAGCTGGCTTTTTCCGGATCAGCCTGGCCAACCCCCTCCCTGCTAAGCAGGCTGGGGGGATCAGGCTCCTTTGGAGCCACCTAAGTCTCCAGTGGGGGGTGGCTTCTTAAATGGCGCTAGTGGTAAAGAATCCACCTGCCAATGCACCAGACACCAAGAGCCCCAGGTTTGATCCCTGGGTCAGGAAGATCCCCTGGAGAAGGAAATGGCAACCCACTCCAGTATTCTTGCCTGGGAAATCCCATGGACAGAGGAGCCTGGTGAGCAGGAGTCCATGGGGTTGCAAGAATGGGCCACGACTGAGCACATATCAGCAGCAATGTCTCCAGGACCCCAGCTGGGGTTCCTCTCTTTGCCCCATTTACTTCCCCTGACCCCTAAAGCAAGTCCTACCTCGGTTCCTATCCCCCATATGCCCTAGCTCCTCTACACAAGGGTCGTTGCAGCTGAAGGGGAAGCTTCCCTGAGCTGTGGCAGGAAGAGAGGCAGGCAGAAGCTCCCAGAACACCCTGGGTGAGTCAAGTGCCTGGGCTTGGGGCAGGGGCAACAGACCAGTCTTAGAAGAGGGTGCTGGGCAGAGCAAGTTCCCTGAAGACAAGGAAGAAAGAGGAGAAGGGGTGAGGGGTAGGGTGGGGACCCCCAGCAGATGCTCCCTGCGCCAGGCCGCCTGAACAGCTGAGAACTGCAGGGCCGGGGCTTCTGACTGAGAGTCCTGCTCATGAAGGGCCCTGGGCCACTGCAGAGGTGCTCCAGGCTCCCCACCTTCCCAGGTGGAACTAGGAATTGTTTGGGGCTTGAACTTCTGGGTGGACAATGGGAGGGACCAGAGCTGAGCTGAGAGAGGGCAGCTTTTGTGGACCCAAGGGATCCAACAGCTCTGGTTTTGTTCTTCTTTTTTTAACTCTTTGGGTTCTGGCTCAGAGCATCAGCCTGAGGCTGGGACACCAGAGTGGGTGGGGTACCACACCAAGTCCCAGAGCCCATACAGTCCCTGCCACTGGGGAGCTACCTTCCCAGGGCTGGGAGCTGAAGTAGGTAAAGAGAAACACTAAAGCTGTGATGAGAACCTTGAAGGGTGAGGGACGGGAGCTCATCCGGGGATGCCACACCGTTTCAGAAAGGAGGAAGGGAGGCCGGAGAAGGTGAGGGACAGGGATGCTGGGGGTGGCATGAGGCCCCTCCCCCCAGCCCCACCGCCCTTCCTGCAAGTTCCGCTGTTGTTGGCCCTCAAAAGGCAGCTCCGGTCCCGGGAAGGGGCTGCAGCTGGCAGGAGCGTCGGGGAACACGGCTGTGCGGCTTTTATTTTGCTTTAGGGAGAATGGAATAATTGACTGTTGTGGCTGTGGTCTTGGCGCACATGACGGGATGTTGGGGAAATGTATGCCTGCTTGTGTGTGTGTGTGTGTGCGCACAAGTGCATGCGTGCGTGTCGCGTGTGTGTGTGTCCCTGTCCCTACTCCACTGGGCAGGGACAGGCCAGTGCCCAGTGGATGACAGCCCCAGGCCCTGCACTCCCCCTTCCCTGCCCAGGCCCGTGGCCCCTGGGTGCGCATGAGGACGCTCGGTGGCCGCCAGGAATGTTAATGGTGCCGCGCTCTGCAGGAGCTAAATTTAGACACCCAAACCGAGAAGGTGAATGGTGCTCACCTTCCCGGCAGCAGGCCCAGTCACCGCTGCAGCCGTGGCCCTTGCTCCAGCCAGGGGACCTGGCGTGCCCACCCTGTGCCCGTCATCCTGCCCGGTCCTGCCCTTCACTCATGCTGGTTGAGGACCTCTAGGCAGCTGAGCCTGGCCGCCCCCAGCCCCAGAGTCCGTGGGCAGCCCTGCTTCCTTCCTACGGTGGTGGGTCCTCAGGCCCTGCCCTGCCTCACGGGCCCAGAGCAGAAGCGCCTTAAGGAGCCCCCAAACAGTAAGGGACACGGCCCCGGCAGGACTAGGCACGGGCCTTCTCCCCGCCCCCGCCGCTCACGTCACTGGCCACTGCCAACCTTGCCCTGCAGGATGCCACCCCCACCATCTGGGGGCAGTGACGTGGCCCGCGTGACGTGGCCAGGCGCCTGAGAGCCGTCTGTCCATGGCAGAGGGAGATATGTTTCTGGGAGCCGAGCCAGAGCCCCAGGAGACAGGCAGGCGGGAGGGGCCTCATCCCCGGGGGTCAGGGATGCGGTGCAGGTCAAAGGGGCGGGGCATGGGGCCCAGGAACTGCCAACCGGGGAGCAGGGATGGGTGGGGGCTGGCACCCCCGGCTGGTGGCACCCTCACACGTTGGCCCTGGCCCTTGCTGCCGAGGCTGGGCTCCCATCCACTCCCCTCCCCTCTGGGACCTTGCTCTGGGGAGGCAGGGAGAATCCAGGCCCTGTCTCCCAGGAGTGACCCTGGTGCTGTCTCCACAGGGCAAACGCTACAAGAACTCCTTGGAGACGGTGGGCACGCCAGACTCAGGGCGTGGGCGCAGTGAGAAGAAGGCCATCAAGTAGGTGCCAGGCTTCGAGTCTGGGGTGGGGCACGCAGGCAGTCCAGGTGGGAGGAGCCCCTCGGGTGTGGTCACACGCAGTTTCCCCCTTACACATGGGTGCCGTGCTCCCTCCGCCGCCCCCACCCCCATATACGCCCTCCCGGTGCCTCAGAGTGACTCCAGGGCTCCGCCTTCTCTGCCCATGCTTCCCAGAACCCTCTGAAGGCTCCAGGTCCCCCAGCCCCAGCCCTATCTCTGGCCACCTCCTCCCTCAACCCACGTACTGGGTGCTCCATCAACCTGCACATCCCACACATGGTCCCCCAGCCCTGCCTGGCTCCCCTGCACCTCCAAGCCCCTCTCCCAGCTGGGGAGCCCCTCTATGGTGGGGGTGGAGGGGGTTCAGACCCCACCCATGTTCTGAGGGTCACCTGGAAGGAGAACAGACAAGAACCCTGGGCACCCCAGCAGAACCCAGTGCTGGGCGGCTCTTGGAAGCAGAGCGATGGGGGAGGTCTCCCTGGTCACACCTGGTCCCCACTGCACGTCTTGCTGCCCCGACTCTGCCGGTTCCCCCATTTGGCTCTGTGATACCTCTTCAAGTGGGCAGGTCTGCCTTGCTCTGCAGACCACTCCTGAGGGTCACTGGGAGACACTGGGATAAACTCCCAACCCCGCCACTGGGGACTCTAGAAACTGGGTGGGAGGGGAGGCCTCTTCCTAGAGGACTTTCTGCCCTCTGGCCCAATGGATTGCCCCCTTCCTCTCTGCCTAGCCCCGGCCTTTGCTGAGAGGTGGCTGGGCACCCTTCCATCTTAGCCTGCCAGGGCCGAGCCTGCCAGCCAAGGGCTCTGACTGGAAGCGGGGCCTCCCCCAGCCCTCCCTGCCCAACTCAAGGCCCCACTGCTCCTGCTCACGCCTCCCCTCCTGCCCTCCCCCTGGTCCATCTTCCTCTCTCCCTCCTTCCCCCACCCCCCGCCCTGCTCCTGAGGGCTCCCTCCCTGCCCTTCCTCAGGCCCCCCTCCTCTTTTTTCATCTCTTGCTCTGACCCTGTTTGGGGCCTTCACAGAAGCTGTGGGTGTGTCTGTGGGGGGGCGGGTAAGTGGAGGGGTGGGCCGGGCTGAGGTTGGGGGTGGGGAGGAGGCTCGGGAGGAGGCTGCCGGGAGCCTTTGAAGCTGGGTTTGGTTGCACACTCTCCAGTCTTCAAAGCTGAGAGCTGGCAGGTCTCAGGGGCTGTTGCAAGAGCCCAGGCCCCAGGCTTTCCGAAGGAGGGGAGGGACAATGTGGGGGAGCAGCAGGCCAACCCAGCTCCGGTGCAGCCTCCAGGCCCGGACTCCAGTTTACCTCTGTAGCCACGATCTGGGCCAGGGGGCCTGTCTCTGCCAGGGTGACCATCATCTTCTTGGATAAGGATGTATGTGTCCCAGACAGTCCTAGAAAGGGCCATGAGAGGAGATGGGATTCCGACAGCGGGGAGAGTAGGCATCAGGGCAGGCAGCAGGCTCTGTGGGCTGGGATGGGTCCACAAGTATCAGACCCTCTACCCCAGGCAAAGGAAGCCACCTTTCATGGCTACATGCTCCCCGGTCCCTAGCCTTTGGGTTTTGCATGGGCCCAAGCCAGTGGGCTCCCCTGGCCGCTCCGACGGTAAAGAATCTGCCTGCAATGTGGGAGATCTGGGTTCGATCCTTGGGTTGGGAAGATCCCCTAGAGAAGGGAGTGGCAACCCATTCCAGTATTCTTGCCTTAAGATTTCCGTGGACAGAGGAATCTGGCAGGCTACATGGGGTCACAGAGAGTCGGACAGGACTGAGTGACTGACACACACACACAAAGCCGGTGGGGTGGCAGGAAGCAGGGTTTACCTGCTGCACAATCTCCCCGTGGGCTTGGGACCTCCTCCCAAAGGATCGTGTTAGCAAGGGTTCCGAGAAACTGCATCCTTTAATAGCTGTTTTTCAAACTGTTAATAGTGTTTCTCAAGCCGTGTTCCTCAGAGCACTCGTGCCCCTGTCAAAGATTAATAGTGATCCCATGGATCCAGGGGTCCGTGACCAACTAAGTCTGGGAAACACTGATATGCATGGGTACGTAAAGGCCCTGAGAAGCCCTGCAGTAAAGGAACCAGTGTTTTGCAAACTGCTTTGATGAAAGAGCCTCTTTTCTGGTACTACCGCGTACAATCTGAGGGACCGTGGGGCTTCTGGGAACACAGCAGAGGAGGCCAGCCTGGCAGTGATGACCCTGGGTGGATCTTTCTCTCCAGGACCCTGGGTGGGATGGGCCTCAATTTTGGAGATCTGGAGGGGACAGAGGAACAAAGGCCTTCCAGCTGTTCCATTGCTGTTACGCTAGGGGAGAGGACCAGAGCACGTCTCTCGCAGAGTAGGGAATAGGGTCTTCTGTGGGGGGAACCTCCCAGGGGAGTCCCCCACCACCACTAGGGCTCCCTCCCAGTGGCCTCCCTTGCTTCTCCCACCCCCGGCCCCCACTGCCCCCTGAGCTGGCTGAGGGCTTGGGCCTTGGACCCTGCGTACAAAATCCCCTGTGAGACATTTCCAAGGCACAGTCTGGACTGGCCGAGACTCTCCACACCAGGGAGGCCCAAGGGAGCCCTGCCCGCCCACCCTCAGGCCCGGGGCGTTGTCTCCTCCTGGCCTGGGGAGACATCTCAGCTCTGCTTCCTCTTTTTCTCCTTTGTTCCGCAGTCTGAGGCTGAGAACCAAGGTTGAGGTCAAATGCTGGGGCTGGTTGGAGGGAGAAGCAGGCCCCCCAAGAACATCCTCTATCCTCAGGGGTTGTGCCTCCTGACAGTCTCCCCCCGCTCCCCAAACAGGGCCCTCACCTTGGCCTTGAGCCCTGGCATGGCCTAGGCACACACCACGCCCACCCCCGGCACACCTCCCCAAACCCCTTGCCGTCGATGCCTTTCTGAGGGCTCAGATGTGACTCCTTTCTGGAATGTTCCTTTGGTCTGTGGGTTGCCCTCCCCTCCCTGTGCTCCAGTTCTGCTCTTGGGGGGCTTCCCAGGAACCCGACAAGCTGGGGGAACCCCTGTCTTTGACTCCTGGGTTTTCCAGGCCACGCCTCCTGCCGAGGCTTCTGCTGCACACCACCAAGGGAGCAGAGGAGGCCAGGGGGACCTGGGGCCAGTGGGAGGAAGAGAGGCCAGTCAGGAGCGGGGCCTGTCCCCAGAGTGGCTTTCTTAAGTAGATGGAAGGGCGGGGAATTTCAAGTCTTCCAGAACTGGGGCCTTGACCCCAGAATGGGAATGCTGATGGCCCAGCGTTTGCTGCCAACCTTCCAGTTTGACTAGGCAGGGAAACCGAGGCCAGGAAAGGGGGCACCTAGCGGGTAGGCAGCAGGGTCTGATCTACTTTGCAGTCATTTCCAGCCAGAAACCAGCACACCCCGTCCTCCTCCCCGTCCCCATGCCATCAGCATCCCACCCCAGACTGCGTCCCGGCCCCTCCTCCCCCCCACCTCCTCTCTCACCATCTTTCTCTCTCCCACCAGCTTCCGGGGTGCAAGGCTCCAGTCTGCCCGCCTGCAGCTCGCCTCCTTTCACCGACCTCTCCCACCCTGGAGCGTGTGTGTGTCTGTGTGTGTGTGAGCGCGGTGTGTGTGCGTGCACATGTGCGTGGGCCGCCCGCCTCTCTTTCTCCCGCAGGCGCCGACCCGGCCCGCCCCACCCTCAGTTCCCCCCCGGGGGGCCCGGCCCTTCTGCCCACACGGGACTTGGGCGGTTCTTGTTTCTTCTTGTATCTCCCTGTTTTCTCCCCTCTCTCTCTGCCCCTCCAGTGATCTAGACAGAGACTTTTGGAATAACAATGAGAGCACAGTGCAGCAGAAATGGAGCTCCTACCCTCCCAAGGAGTTTATTCTAAACATTTCACCCTACGCCCCTTATGGCGACCCACGACTGTCCCTCAAGTGAGTGACTTTACCTGGTTTGATCATATGTACCCACTACCCTCGCTCGCCCTCCCTCCCCCTCCCGGCCCCTCCCCCCACCTCCCCACCCCTGCACCCCATGGGCAGGCTGACCATGGAGACGAGCAACCCCTCCTGCCCCCCCCACCCCCGCCTGCCTGCCCCTCTCCCGTCCCCTCCCCCAGGGCCAGCCACCAGGAGCGCCCCCCAACCCACTCCGCAGCCACACCCAGCCCCCAGCTGGTCCCCACGGCCCCCACCCCCTCTGTGCAGTCAGGATGGGGTTGCCCGTTGGTTTTTTTTGGTTCCCCCCTCTCTCGGTGTGGCTCGCTTTCTCCTCCCTGCTGTGTGCTGCTGCCCTGGCTGCTCCGGTTGGTGGTCGGTGGTCTCTCGTGGAGGTGGTGGCGGTGATGGTGGTGATGAACTCTGACTAACTCGGCTTTCTCTCTCTCCCTGCCTTGGGGCCTCCTGGCCTGGACAGCCCGCTCTTCCTCCGTCGTTAACCCTCCGTTGTCCTGTGGGATAGACTTGGAGGTGGCTGCCCTCCCCCACCCCCGCCGCCCGGGCCCCAGGCGGTGGGGAGGGGCCCCCCTCCGTTGTCGTGGTGCGTTGTTCTCCGACCCCCAGCCCGCCCCGTCCCCTCTCTCCTCTCTGCAGGCTCCGCTGGTGACCCATTTGCAGTGCTGACGTCTCTCTCTCTCTCTCTGTCTGTCTCTTGTCTGTCCGTCTCTCTGTCCTCCTCCTCTCTCACTGCCTCTTTCTTCCTTTTATCTGTCGTTGTTTCTCCTACTCTGACCCCCCCGCCCCCACCCCCGTGTGGCCTGCCCTCTCCCCCACCGCCACCCCCGGTTGCCCCTCTGGCCCGGCTGCCTCATGGTCCATACGTCCAGTGGCACCCTTCTGGCGGGCGCCAAAGTGGCCGCCGCGGCAGGGCTGGCGGTGGAGCGGGAAGGCCGGCTGGGGGAGAAGCCGGCAGCGGCGCCGCCACCCGGAGAGGACGCCTTGAGAAGCGGCGGGGCTGCCCCCAGCGAGCCGGGCAGCGGTGGCAAGGCGGCGGGGAGAGGCCGCTGGCGGACGGTGCAGAGCCACCTGGCCGCCGGGAAGCTCAACTTGTCCAAGTGAGTGATGGCCCCACGGCCGCCGGAGCCGTGAGCTCAGGCCTGCCCCCCATCTCCGCTCCCCCCACCCCGCCGCCAGTGTGGACAGTGGGACCCCTGGCATGCCCGCTGCTGCCCCCAGAGGTGCCGTCCTCGGCCCCTGGCTCATCCCATCCCTTCACGAAACTCCCATCGTCCTTGCCACAAGCACGACTGACGCAGCCATGCACCGTGCATCTCAGCCTCCGGCTGCCATCCCCATCCGTTTCTCTTTTTGCCAGCGACCAGGTCATTTCATTTTCTGCCCCCAGGGCAGCTTCATTTCAGCCCTTGGGTCATCCCATCCTCTTTGACTGGCTGCCCCATCTCGACCTCCATGGGCACCAGGCCACAATTGTTAGCCACCGGACCATCCATCCGTGGGGAGCTGGCCCAGCCTCAGCCTGTTTTCTGCCGCTCATCTGCCACCGGGCCTTCCCTCTTGCAACCAGCACAAAGCTCTAGACCCAGAGGTCGAGCCATTTCATCTTGACCATCAGGTGACTCCATTGGCTTATCCCAGTCTTGCTTGCACCATGACACCATTTGTTCCTTGGGCCCACTGTGAGCAGCTGGGAGGTCCCCATTGGCTCATTCCTGTCAGCTGTCCCGGTCTTGGTCACTGACCTGTCCCGCTCTCAGCTGCTGGGACTGGATGTTCTTGGAGATTGGGTTGTTGAGCCCCCAGCTAACTTCTCTTTTCTGACGAGGGTGGTCTGGATGTCAGACAGAAGAGCCGTTTCCCTTTTAATAACTTCTGAGCTGGCCAAACAGTCAGTCCAGTCCCTCCCTGGGAGCAACAGACATAGGGTGGGCCTCTATTCTCTGCAGATATTAAGTTCCTCCCGCCCCCCATGGGGCAGCCTTATTCTCATCTTGGCTCTTAGAACCTTCCATTTCCCCACAGCTAAGCCTCCCAAGCTCTAAATCCTTTGAACTATGACCGTTCTCACCTACTGGGATGTAGGTTCCATTTTCGGCTTTTAGAACCGCCTCGTTCCCAGCTAATGCAGGAGCCTCTCACTTAGAAGGCCAACAGCCCTGACCCCTTCTTGGTGGTCGGGCCAGTTCTCTTCAGCAAACCTGTGGTTCCCGCCAACGGGACCACTGAGGACCACCACGCTGAGACCTCGTGTGCTCGCTCATCGGCCTGAAGGAGCACGAGCCGATGTGCCCCCTGACATGGAGCCTAAGGAAGGCCCCAGAGGGAAGCCTCACCATCCTTCAGAGGGCCAGGCCCAGTGCCCCGCCCTCACATAGTTACTCCGGCCACAGACTCTAGGCTGGCTGAGGCCTCCATGCCCTCCGCTGGCTCCAGGCCTGGAGGAACCGATGTTAGTTTCCCTGTGACTGAGAGGTTGTAAATTGGACTAATTCTGGATGTGATAGAAAACCAAAATGAGGTCAGGGAGGAGGAGGAGAAGGCGGCCGCCCCGGTGCCGGCCTCCCGGCTCCTTAGCCTGCCCCCGGGGAGTGTGGGCCCACCCAGCCAGCCAGGCCAGGGCCTGCCCCTGGGGGTCACCTCGATGCCAGGCCTGAGCCAGGCGAGGCTGCCGCCCCTGCCAAGACCCCAGCTGAAGCCATATTTTGCTTTTCTCTTTCTTCCTTCCTTTCTGTCCTTTCTTTCTTTCTCTCTCTCTTTTTCTTTAACTTTCTCTCTTTATTCTTCTCTGGCTTTCTGTCCCTCTTCTTGCTTTCTCTCTCTCAGCCCACAGGGGCAGCCTAACTGTTGTCCTTTTGGTTCCCAGGGTGGGCTCAGGGTGAGCCAGGCTGCCTGGCTGTGGTGGTGAACGTGGCTCCGAGGGCCCCGGGGCCTCTCTCGGGCAGCTCAGGGCGGGGGCGGGGGATGGGGGGGGGGTCCCATCTGCCCTGTGGCCCCAGACCAGGAGGTGGCAAGCTATCTCTCTAAGAGATCTGATAGGAGATAGGCTTTGCAAGTCAGGTAGTCTCTTTTATGACTATCAGCCCCGCTTTTGCTGCCCCAAAGCTGCCATAAACAACATGTAAATGAATGCCAGTGGTTGCATTCTAGTAAAACTTTATTCACGAAGACAAGTGGCGAGCCACATTTGGCCCACAGGCCAAATGACTGAATGAAATGAAATGATTGAATTCAGTCGTGGACGACTGAATGAAATATGGAGGGAAGGAACAAAAGATGAGGAGGGTGGGCCCCCTGAGGCTCTGGCCCTGCAGGTGCTGAAATCTCTGGCCAGGAGACAAAGCAGATGGGTTGTCCAGGAGGCCTGTGGTCTGAGACCTCCTTCTGCCTCCATTTTCTGAGACATCTGTAGCTTCCCCTGGCAAGGGAGCAAGGACCAGTAGCATATTTCCCTGGGTCTGACCTCTTTAGGTCCCCATGGCAACCCTGTGATGGAGGCAGCTCGGAATTTTTACCCCATTTTACAGATGAGTAAACTGAGAGGTAGCCTCCTTTTCCCAAAGTCCCTCAGTGAGGAAGCGGCCAAGATGGGGCCTGGACCCTGGGTCTCTCTGAGCCCAGACTGCCTCTGATGAGCCATGTCCTTCCTGTTGCCAGCATGTTTCAGAGATGTTGGTGGCCTGTGAGGTAGGTGCCCTATTGCAGCTGCCTAGAGGACAGGATAATTACCCTGTTCTTTGTCAGAACTTGGGTAATTCGAGTTCTGCCAAGCAGCCGGCCAAGTGTTTTCCTAAGTCCCCTCGTCTGACTGGGAGCCATTCCCAACATACTGGGAAAGGAAACTAAGCCTTGGAAACAAGGAGCCCCAGAAGGGTTCCCCGCGCCAGAGCTCGAACCCTGAGGGAGCGCCGGCCAGAGGGCAGAGGTCCCGGAGGCCCGGGACACGCCCCAGCCTCCGAGGACAAAGCAGGACAACTGTTGAGGCTCCTGACTCACCGCGCGTTACTAGGCCAGCTCCATGCTGGCCTGGATTTCCTGGCGTCTCCAAAGGCCAGTAGTACTTAGAGCACAGAGGCGGACTTTCTTGGGGTCCCCCAGTGAGATGGCGGGAGGGGGTGGCCCAGCTCCCTCCACCCCCCTCCCATTCCAGCAGGACAGGCAGCCACGGGGCCCTGGGACCCGCCTTCACCACGCGGCCAGCGGCGCAGCTCCGCGGCCGCTCAGACCAGCACAGAGGTCGGCTCAGACAGGAGGTATCGGGCACTAGCTGAGCCAGGGCCAGGGTGGGGGGCTGGGCGGGCCGCCCTGGGGGCCTCTGGGTGGGCGCGGGGCCCGGCAGCGGCGGCCTCCTGGGTGAGTTGGTGGTGGCAACGGCAGCGGTGACAGCTCGGATGGAGGCCCGGCGAGGTATTCCGGCAGAGCGCGCCCGGCACTTGGGCCTCCTCGTCCTGGCCCTAGGCGTCTTTTTCCTCCACTGTGATCCCTTCACCTGCTTCTCCTTTCTCTCCTCTCCTCCACCCGCCCCAAGTTTCGAGGACTCCACCCTGTCCACGGCCACTACCCTTGAGTCTATCCCCAGCTCCACGGGAGAGCCGAAATGCCAGCGACCCCGCACCCTGACGCGGCAGCAGAGCCTGCAGCAGCCGCTGAGCCAGCACCAGCGGGGCCGGCAGCCCAGCCAGCCCACCACCAGCCAGAGCCTGGGCCAGCTGCAGGCCCACGTGGCCTCGGTGCCCGGCCCCAACCCCCGGGCCCACGGCCGGGGCCAGGCACGGCAGGGCTCCTCGGCCGGCTCCAAGTACCGGCCGGCCGGCGGCCGCAGCCGCTCCAACCCGGGCAGCTGGGACCACGTGGTGGGGCAGATTCGAAACCGAGGCTTGGACATGAAATCCTTCCTGTAAGTGCCCCGCTCGAGCGGCCTGGCCCCCACCCCCCTGACCCAGCCTCTTTTCCTCCCCGTTTCCTTCGGAGCGGCTGGCTCTGAACCACGCTTAGCCCTCCGTCTCTGAGGCAAGGTGCCCGGCAGACTCGGGCACCCTCTCCCGAACCTCTTATGGCTGTGGCTCGTGCCTGAAGCACCGCACCCCCCCCACTGTGAAAGGACCTATATCTGAGCCACCCCCTGAGGGCCCCAGTCCCCCTCGGTGCCCCCCAAAAGCCAGTGGAGACACTAGGGGATGCTCCTGAGGTCCCCAGACCTGTCTGTCCCCTTCTGGCCAGGCCCAGGCTCTCCTGGCCTCCCTGTCAGCTCTCTCCTCCTAAACCTGGTCTCCTCGGCTCCAGCGCCCAGGCCTCGCTCCTCCCATCCCTGTAACCTGACTCTGCTCACCTTCCGGCCCTGCACTTCCTCCCTCCCTCCCTCCCACTTCCCCTGTCCCTGCCCTGGGCCCTGTCCTCTGTCCCTCCGACGACCTTCCATAGCCACCTGCCCTCCACTTACCCCCCTGGCTCCCACCATGACCCACTCATTCCCTGAGGACAAACCTCACAACATTCCCCCAAAGCTTTAGAAAGCGTCTCTGGATCAGAGGCTGCTTTGACGTGCACAGGTCAGAGAGGTAACAACACCCCGTCTGTGTCTGGCCCTAACCATTCCCCTCTGCTGGGTGTGCCCCTCACCCGCCCCCTGCCGTGTGTCCGCTTGCCCCCTCCCTCATCGGCAGGGCCCCACCCAGGGCACCCTCTGCCCAGTGTCCCTCTGGGCATCTACACGCACTCTCCGAGCCCGGGGCAGGCCTGGGCTTCAGTCCCTGACATCACCTCCTTCCTCTGGCCTAACGTGACCTTCCTTCCAGGCTCTGGGGATTATTCTCAACACCCAGGTCTTTCCTGGAAGCGCTTTTCATGGAGCAGGAGACCAGCACACTAAGCCTGGGAGAGGAGAAAGGGAGGAGGAAGGGGAAAGCCAAGGTGAAGGCCCGCTCACTGGCAAAATGTGAGGATTCTGAGCATCCTTCAGAGCTCGTGCCTCTGGCTGAGACCCCAGCCCGAAAGGCGGTCAGGAGTGCTACCCCTGGGAGGGGCAGCCCAACGGAAGACACCCCACCGTGCCAGCTTCCCATACCCTTGGCCCCGGCCAGGCAGGAACATGCCATGCCACCTGTGACTCTCCTTGGCCAAACTAGGCAGCGCATCTGCTGGGGCTTTTCCCCACCCAAGGACCGTCAGGAATTCAGCTGGACGCCGGCCTGAGACAAGATAGCCGACAGAGCCTCCAGGCCTCCAGAAGGCCGGCTTGTCCTGGGATGGATGCCGTGGCACCGGTGTGGATTGGAAGAGTGATGGGAATCGGTTCTGCCGTGGCTTGAGCAGGACGGAGAGCCGGCCGGAACCCTGCACCCCTCTGCTCCTCCTGACTGCAGGCGGCCCTCTGCACAGCCGTCACCCTGCCTCCCATTCTGTAGCTGTCACATGGGAGCAGGACCCATGCCCAGGCTCCGGGAAGAAAGCAGCCAGCCTCAGAAAGGCCACTGGTACCTCCTCCCCTGCCCTCCCCCTCTCTAGCCAGCCAGGATTCGATGAGCATCACTCTGGAGTGGGCATCAGCGTTTCTTCTGCCCACAGCGGTGTTCGCGCCCCTCACCAGCCAGCCATCCCCAGAGCTTACCCGTCCCCCACCTCCTCCACTTGTAGTCCCTCACAGCAGGGTTCAGCAAACTTTTTCTGTAAAGGACCAGATTTATAAATAATTTAGGCTCTGAGGGACACGTGGTCTCGATCACATTTAAAAAAAAAAAAACAATCCTTTAAAAATGTACAAACCATTCTTAGCTTGTAGGCTGCACAAAACAGGCCACCAGCTGTAGCTTGCCGGCCCCTGACCCCTCTCACAGATCAGCTGGCGTGCTTCTGACATCCTTCTCTCGCCCCAGATGCTGGGGGCCCACACAGAGAGTCAGGGTGAGAAGGCTAACCAGGCCCCCCAAGACCCCACCCCCTCTTGCAGGGAGAAGGCATTCCTCTTGCTTCCAGAATGTGACCCCCCATAACACCACCACCTTCTCCCCCAAATCTCTTCCTCTTGCCCTTCACTCAAGCCCCTGTGGCCTGCGATGCCACAGAGAATGACAAATCAGGAACTTATGCAGAGCAGCCGTTTTGTTTTTAAGAAGAGCAAAAGGAGTATCTGAAAAATGCATTAACCAGGGAAAAACATGTTTTCATTGGGTTTGACTTCCCCAGCATAACCAGCTTCCAGGCAGTCAAGTGGAATTTTACTAACTGTGAAACAGTACCGGTGGGCAGGGAACAAAGGAAAAAATGAGGATTTGTCCTGAGGAAAGGGGACGTTCTTTCCGAAAGTTAGATGCCAGTGCAGGTGTCAGCCTGGAGCAGCCGTGCCCAGGACGAAGATGCAAAGACAAAGAAGTCAGCATCCACCGGCTTCAGACCCCACGGCCGTCCCCCATTTTCCGAGACCCCCACCCCTCCCCTCTGTCGTCATATGTCATTCGCCTTTTTGACGACCTCTCCAGGAAACCACCACATCCAGTGGGTCCTCTGTGAACTTCTCCCTCTTGGATGGTGGTTGAAGCGGGAGACCTCCTGGCCCAGGAATCCCACCCTCTGGGACATCCCATCAGGCTGGCCTTCTTTCCCTCAGTCTCATGCCTGCTGCTCTTGAGAATCGCTCTCCCCGTGTTCAGCTGAGAAGCCAAAGCTGGGGGAGCTCAGCCAAGCACCCAGAAAATACCCACAAACTGCGATGGCTTAGAGGGGCAGAGGGGCACTTTACCTCCCTGGAAAGGGCAGGCGGCCCCACAACTGCCCAGCGGTCCTCTGAGAGAAGCTGGCCCAGAAGACGTCACCCCTTGACCTCTGGCCCCACGCTGCTGCCCACTTGATGATTCCTGGGCCGCCTGAACTGAGCCTTCCTCAGGGCAGGATTCCTCCAGACCACCCTGATTGTGGGCACAGGTCCCTCGAGTCCTGCCAGGCCCGCTCCAGCCCTGGCCAGCTTCCTGCACTTTCTGTCTCTCTCTCTCTTTGCCCCTCGGCACCTTCTGGACTGAGTCTCCAAGGAAAGGCCCGTGAACTGGACCCCAAAGCCTTGGTGGCTATTCCCGAGATCTCCAGGAAGGGGGACACAGGAGAAGGCGCAGGATGGCCGGTCTGCCATATGCCAGAAGAGACTAACCTCCTCCAATGGGCTGAGTCTCTAAGGACCTGGGAGGGAGCCCCCCAGACCCACCTCCTGGTGACCCTGACCCAGGGATGTCTTGATGAGGGACTTCACTGGATGCAGCGCCCTCTGGGTTTCCCAGCTTTCTAAGAACTTCCTGCCTCGAAGCCCAAACCCCTGCCCACAGGGTCCCCAAGCAATATAGCAGCAGAGGGCCTCCCCTGCTCTTCTCCTCGGGGCCCAGGTGGTCTGAGTAGCCTCTGGCTTTTGTTCAACTGAAGATGAGTCAACCTTGGATACGGACTGTGTCCGGGGGCCTGGGCTCCACTCCTCCTAGCCTTCTCTGCGGGTTTTCTCAGGGCATCCCAGCCACATGTCTCTGCCCAGCCCCTCCCCCGTGGCGAACTGGGTCTCAGGCTGCAAACACCTCCACTCCATTCCCCTCCCTTCCCCACCCCCCCCAGCCCACCTCCTCCCCTCCTCTGCTCTACAACTGTTGACAGTGCTGAAGTTTGGTTTCTCTTCTGCAGACCCAGTTTCTTATGCTATTCTCTTCTCTCTCTTTGTCTCTGTCTCTCTGTCTCTCTCTCTCCTTCCCCTCCCTGCCCCCCACCGCCCTGCGGGGCCTCCTCCTCCTCTCTCCCCGGCTGGTGGGCTGCCCACCCCGCCCCCCGGGCAGGGAAGGCCGGATGGTGGTGCTATCCTTGGTCTTAGGGCTTTCGGAACAGGATGACTTTGCCAATATCCCTGACCTGCAAAACCCAGGAACCCAGCAGAACCAGAACGCTCAGGGGGACAAGAGGTACGAGCACGGGCGAGGGCCTGCGGCGGCTGTGGCAGAGAAGGAGGCGTGGAGAGGCTGCCAGCCTCGACCCCCGGCTGCTGGATGAGGCGGCGGTGCCTTCTGCGGATGCTGGAGCGGGAGGACGACCCGTCCCCAGCCGGCGCCCTCACACCCGCCACGCTGGTGGTGTCCTTTGGGGCCTGAGGCCAATGTGGCTGTCCTGGGACCATTCTGGATCAAGCCTGCTCCCTGGGCCTGCCTGCCCTCGCCCAGAGCAAGCCAGCCTTTCGGCCCCATCTTCCTGCTTGGCTCCCCCTCTGCTGCCCCCTCATCTTTCATTTCTGTCCCACCCGACCCAGAAATCCCAGTTTCTCTGGCGGTTGGTGGGCGGTGGGGATGTTAGGGAGAAGGTGCCAGCCTGTTCTCCCTCATCCCCGCCACCTCAACCTCCTTCTTGCCTGGAGGTCCCGCTGGGGTGATGGTCTCACACACACACACACACACCCCATCCCTGCAGAGATGTGACCTGGCTGCTCAGGCCTCATGGAAGAGGAGGCCCTGGTGGGGAAGGTCTGGGGCCTGAGAGAGGCCCAGGAATCAGAAAGAACCAGAAAGGCAGCTCCTCCTCCACCTGGGCCTGAGGTACCAGGAGGAAGGAACAGGAGAGGGTGGGAGGGTGAGAGCAGGTGGCAGGGGCTGGTTGGGCCCTCTGTCACTGGGAGCCTGGCTGCTGGCCTTCAGGGAGTAGCCCACGTGGCCCCAGCACGGGCTGAGCAGAGGGCATTTAACCATCCATCGCCCTGGTCATCAGGGGCCGAGGGAAGCATCATCTGATGCCCCCGTCTCAAGGAGGGAGCAGAGCGCTCTCCCGGGGAAGGGGACCGGCAAAGGTCAAGGGGCCCAGGGTTCAGGCAGCATCACTAAGGCGGGATGACCCTGCACCTGGTCTGGCCGCCTCCTCCCGCCTGGCCTTGGGCTGGGTCAGGTACATACCTGTAATTGCGGGAGGAAGGCGCATCCCCTTGATTGGGTTGTACTTTCCATCAGACCAAAGGCCTACAGGAGAGCTGTGTGGCCTGGCAGCCAGGCCACCTCCGTCTAGCTCTGGTTTTGAGACCTTGGGCAAGTCACAGCCCTTCTCTGGACCTCTGCTTCCTCGTCTGTCAAGTGAGGGATTGGACAGGGTGACCCCTTCCAGCTTGGACATGCCAAGCTTCTAACGAAGGAGCAGCCCCTCAGCTTGAGGCACGGGTCAGAGCCTGTCCGCCAGGCAGGGACCCTGACCCTCACTCACTAAGAGCCTGGAAGGTGCAGGAAGGACTCTCCAGGCTGCTGCCGGGGGCCTGCGCGTGAGGGGAGGACAGGCCGAGTTAGCCGACTTGCCTGTCTCTGCAGTGGCTTCTGGAAACCCAGCTCTCCTATTTTTTTCCCGTCCCAAGTTCACAGTTGCATGTCTGGTGGGCAAAGCTGCAAATGACCGGAGAGTGGGAGGGGAGCGTGGGACCAGCTCTTCCGCTCAGGGCACAGATGTGTCACACCCTGATCCCAGGTCCTGGGATGCAGGAGGAGCCGAGTCTGCCACCTCCAGGCCACTGGAACCACCGGAGTCCCAGCTTCCCGAGCCGGGCTGGCCTGCGGTGGGGGAGAGGGCTAGGGGCCGCAGGAGCGGAGCTGGAGCCCTCTGAAAGCCTTGCTAAGAACCCGGGCTCCTGGCCGACAGAGGTGTGAAGCGTGAGGGAGCAGATGCAGGCTGGAAACGAGATTTCACATCACCCATGTGTTAATTAACTGGCTCCATTTTCACCCACTGCCTATTTTTACCTCCTTGCCACTCAGGTCTCACTCCATATTTTAACACACTCATGCCTTCTGATCATTGCATCAGTCATCCCCTGCCTTTCTGGGAAAGGTGGGTGTGGAGGTGAGGGCCCTGAGCCCTCGCCCCCACCCAGCCTGACTTTCCGAGTGGACCCAGGCCATTCCCACCCAGTCACGCCTGCTCCATCCCAGAAGCTCATTTCTCATGGCTGTCAGGGTGTTTCTCGGGCAATGGGCCACAGCTAGGGTGCTTTCTGCCCGGCACTCTCCTCTCCCCCAAGCTTGGCATTGGCGTCACCCTCCGGGGACCGGGCAGTTTAGGGTCCACCCCTCTGGGCTCCTGGCTGCACGGACCTTGCAATGGTGAGCTTGGGTCAGCTGTTCCCTTCCTCCTCAGCTTCTGCCTCCACGTCCAGGGTTTGCCCTCCAGTCCCAGTGTCCCCTTCTCCACCCAGCTGACCCCTTGGCCGGGTGTCGCCTGGGTAACAGATGGGTGGCCCTTGGCTGTTGTAGGGGAGAGCATCCAGCCCCCCAGGTTTGTTAGCCGCAGGTTCCCGGGAGATAGGAGGGCCCTTAGGAGGAGGTGTGGCCACTCCAGGTCCCAGGCAAGATGGGAGTGCATTTAGCAAGTCACTGCCCCCCACTCCCACAGTTCTTGGTGGCCCTGAACCCCCCCATCCAGGATCCCCCAGGCCCCTAGGCCTCGGCGCTGGAGCCCTAAGAGATGCAGACGGCTCCTGGGACCACGAGGGGGAGGGAAGGAGGCCACGGCCACCCCTGGCTCCCATGCCCTGCTCGCCCGGCCCACCTCGCCCGCGCTGCCCTGCACCCACGCATGCCTCATGCCCCGTCCATCCCTCTCACCGTCGCTCCTCGGGATCCAAATGGTTTCCACCATGGCCCCACCCCCCCCAGAGTGGGGTCGGGGGGCAGGGCGGGACCTGGCCAACCCATCGCTGCCACCCGCTCCGAAGCCACCATGTCTCCGTCCCGGTGTGTGTCCCCGCCTCCTCTCTGCCTCTCCTCTCGGCCGCCTCGCTCCTTGTCGCCTTGTCCACCCTGCAGCCTCTTCACTCGTGTCCAACTAACCTTTCTCGGCCTCTCTCCCTCCCTCCCTGTCTCCTTCCTCCCATCTGCTCCTCACAGGGACGCCCCTGGGCCAGGCCGGGCCCCCTGCCTCTGTGCCCCCGTCTCTCTGTCTCTGTCTGTCCTGTGACCTCCGGTAGCTTCAGTGGCGCTGACCATCTTTTCCCAGGCTGCTTGGCAGCTGTGCTGATGCTGTGGTGTGGCCAGAATAATTCCGACTTTCTCATACCTTCAGCAGTCAATCTCGGCTCTCTCCTCCTTTCCCACTCTATTTTTAACCTGACTTTACCTCTCCAGCTATTTCAGTCTCCTCTTCCTCCCCGTGCCTGTCTGCGTGAGCACGTGTCCATGTGTGTGTGTGTGTGTCTGTGGGGCATGCATGCGTGCGTGTGCTCTGCTGTAGCCCACCTCCGGGAGGGTGCCCCGCGTGTCCTGACTCGGTTTCTGGGAGGGTGCCCCGCGTGTCCTGGGGCGGTTTCCGTGTTGTCTGGATGGGGCCAGGTTCTCACAGCAGCTGCACCGTGCGTCTGAGTCCCGTGGCGTCTGTCCCCGAAACTGCTGCCTGCTGAATGTGTCCCAGTTCACATGCACCCCTTGGCATGCCCGGGCCTCCCCGAACGTGTGTCCTCTCGGAATCTAAGTGTGCACAGCACTGCGTGTACGTCGTCTTGCTGCTCTGGTCGATCCACCTGGTTGCCCATGCCGTGTCTCTCCCTGTTGCCTGGGTGTCTGTTGTGCTTTTGTGCACTCGTGTGTGTTTGTGTGTGTGTGTGTGTGTGTGTGTTCACACACCCCGCTGTTGGGTCCTGGCGTCTCCCCTCCAGGTCCTGGCATATTCCATGCATGTCCTGTCTGCCTGTCGTAGCCAACCGTGGGTGCTGGTGGCTGGTCCATTCCGAGGGCCATGGCTTGCGTCCAGCCTGTGTGTGCTTCCGAGTCTATGGCTCTGGCAGCCTCGAAGCTGTTCTACCGTAGCCCGTCATGAGCCCCACGCTCCCCACCACACGGCCCCTTCCTCGCTGCCTGCCCCCACCTCTCTCCCTCATGGGATGTTCCAGCCTGGTCCCCTCCCCGGGCAGGCTTCCTGAATCCTGGCTAGATGGAGCCTGGCTCACCACCCAGCCTCTGGGCCAGAGAGCCCAGCTTCCCGGGGGGCTGCACAGAGTCAGTGTGTAGATAGGGGCCTGGAGTAGAACTGTCAGAGCTGGGGGCTTCTCAGTGGAACCCTGTCTTCCTCTGACCCCAGGTGAGAGCCTTATCAAAGTGCAGTCCTCACATGCAAGGAGAGTGGAGATGGGAGCAAGGCGATATAGAGTTGCCCCATCCAGTAGGTGGCCATTTAAATCTAAATTACGTCAATCAAAAGAAAAAATTCAGTTCTCAGTTGTGCTGGCCACGTTTCAAATGCTCAATAGCCACACGTGGACGTGAAAATTTCTAATGGATAGGACTGGGTGGACACTGGTCCCAACCTCACCTGGTCAGTCTCGGGTCTAAAGGGCACCTGTATTCCTGCTGAGCCTGAACAAACAGGTGGGGCCTCTAGGAGACAGGAGCTCTGGGCATGTTTGCCAAGGGAAATGACGCGGACAGGGGAGCTGGACACATCATCTCGGGAGCCTCCCTTCTGGGCTGGGGCCAGCAGGGGTGGAGGGAGCCTCTAGGGAGGGCGGGTGCTCAGAGAGCACCCCGTGAGCAGGGGCTACATGGTGGGGTACTTTCTAGGGGATGGGCCAAAAAAGCGCCTGCCAGGGGATGTCCAGCCGGATCACGCAGGGGCAGAGGCAAGGGGGAGGGCTCCTGCTGGCCCACAGGAGGTGGCAGCCGCTTGAGTACCAGAAGGTCCTGCCACTTCCCAGGCTGGCGGCGCCCAGCCCAGCCCTCCTCCGGGCCCACACTCATTCAGATCCCTCCTGCCCCCAGGTTGCCTGCAGGAGGGAAGGCAGTGAACACAGCCCCAGTGCCCGGCCAGACGCCCCACGATGAGTCTGACCGCCGGACCGAGCCCCGTTCCTCCGTCTCAGACCTCGTCAACTCCCTCACCAGTGAGATGCTCATGGTGAGAAGAGCGGGGGGCCCGGGGCGGGGGGCAGGGGGTGTGGACCTTGGGGGTCAGTCATGCAGGAGAATGACCCTGGTGGCCGAGTGAGGCTGCTCTGCTCCAGCTCTTTCACCCCAGCAGCCTGTCTGTGCTCCAGTTTCCTCATCTGTCAAGGCAGACCAAGAATCCCCATCCTCCTCCTGTCTCTGGGTAGAGCCAGGGTCTTAGAAAATCTGATACATGATCCTTGAAGGAAAGGCTGGTGGGCCAAAGACTTGAGGGGGAGGTGTCCCCTCTCTTGGAGGGACCGCCCACTGCGTGGAGGCGTCAGGTGGCACTCTGGGTATCCCTTCCCAGGGACCCCATTGCTGGGGGCCGGCTGAGGCTCAAAGAGGAAAGGAGAGCAGAACTCCTCTGGTCCTAGTCCTTCTGTGGACCCTACCCTCCTGGGATCCCAACCCTTGTGGATCAGAGGTGTTTTCGCGGTGGTGGTGGGGGGGGGGGGGAGAGGGTGTGGCTTCTCATGGCGCCCCCTGGTGGCGGCAATGAGTCACAGCCATTTGCCCCACCTGCATTTTCCAAAGAGCTCCTTGCAGGGCCCGTGGCCCCAAGGCAAGCCCTCTGTGATTGGGCAGCCGCAGAGGTCAGGCCTGAGTCAGTCAAAGGTTTGGCAGCCCAGAAGTCCCGGGAAGGCTTGGCGAGGACCTGAGGGTGGGAACCCAGTGTCTGCTAGATTCCTAGTGGGGACAAATCATTTCCCATCCCTAGACCTGGGTACCCCTCCCGCCTCCCCTTAGCTCCTCCCTGTCTTCCCTCTCCCTCCTGTAGAGAGAGAGGGAAGGGGGCTTGGTGGGCTCCTGGGCCCTTGCTAGACCTGACATGATTCAAGTCAGTGTTCCCTTGCCCACCATTCTGACACTGCACTCCCCACCTTCCCAGAGGCCCCTGGAGACCCAGGCCCCACCCTCCTACCATTTAGGCTTCTGGGTGGCTCAAACTATCCATCCACACTCCCCTTTTCTAGATTGTGATAGGCACACACATCATTGGGAGATCTTGTTAAAATGCAGATTCCCAGTCAGCAGGCCTGCTAGGGGCCCAAATCTGCATTTCTCTGGAATACAGACTAGGGTATCAGATTTTTCAACATTCCAGATCTGAGCTTCCTTCGGCCTCTCACCTGGCCCCTTCTTCCTGCGCGCCCTGAGCGCCGCCTGCCTGATCCTCCACCACCTTCCTGCCTGTCTTCCCCCGCCCATGTAGATCAGCACGGCCTTCCTCTCCTCTGGACGGGCCTTCGGCACAGTCCATCCTGCCTCCCTGCACAGCCTCTTAATTGGTTCCAGCTTCCCGGTAGCCAGGTTCCCAGAAGGGACGGCCCTTTCCCAGCCAGCTCGCCTGCCCCTTCCTGCCTCCAGGGAGGGGCCGGCAGCCTCAGGCAGAAGAAGGAGTGCAGGCCCCAGAGCCCTCTCACGTGCTCAGCGGATGCTCAGAGGTGGGCAGGCAGGGTCTAATTGCCTAGCCTTAGGCCACAGCTGGGTCACTGGCATTAGCAGTGATGATGAAGATGAATAGGGCAGAAGGAAACCAGGCCCCAGGCTGATCTCCAGGTCCCAGACTGTCCAAAGCTCAGGGGTCAGAAAACAAGTCGGGCACCCAATATAGACTTTCGGACAAAGGGACTGAGGGGAAGGGGTTAGAGAGGAGGCCTAGCCATACCCCCATCTGGGTTACTCCTGCCTGCTTACTTCTACCAGAGCTGGGGCTGAGGTAGCACCTCCTCCATCCCTTGGTGGGGAGGGCAGGGGTGGGGAGGTGGTGGCTAGCTTGGTTGCCATGGAAACAGATCCAGGAGCTGCCCCAGCTGGTTAATCAGGGCTCAGGGCTGTAGTTTGGGAAGACTGGCAGTGGGCACAGAGCCACTGCCCACTTCTGAGGTGAAGTCACTGGCCCAGGTTAAGCCTCTCAGCCTAGACCACCCTGTTTGAGAACCAGGATCCAAATAACCAGACGAGGTGGGGCTGGGGTCACCTGCACTCCGGTCACCAGGGTCTTCACCCCAATTTTAGAAGGCATGGGGAGGGGCGAGTGGTCCTGGAAGGGACTGCCTGCCCCAGGCTCTCAGTCCATGGCCAGCAGTGGCAGGGGCCAGGCTGTGGCCAGGACCACAGAAGGGTCCCGTTAACCTTTCCTGGAACCCCGTAACATAGGTCTGTCTCATGGTCCCACTCTATAGATGCAAAAACAGATTCAGAGGGAGTGGGGCCAGTAGGAGGAGAAGGAAGGAGCTCCCGGGGAAAACTGGACTTGAGTTGGAAAGCCAGATTCTCAGCAGGCGTGGATGGAGCTTGCACAGGGCTGCCTGGATCCGGCCAAGGGGTGGGGCTGGGGGGACCCACTTCCGCTGTGAGAAGAGCAGGGGAGGCAGCTCCGCCCTGCTCCCACCTCCAGACAGGACCAGGGGTGTGGCTGGTGAAGCCCCAGACACTGGATCTGAGTGTGAGAGTGAGGGCAGCTGGAAGGGCATCATTCATGATGGCCGAGCACTGACCTGAGTTCGAATTCTGGCTCATCACTTAGTCACAGGCTGCTTGAGGCAGTAATCTCTGTGCCCCAAACCAGACTAGAGCCCGGCAGTGTCTGCTTCATCAGGAAGCTGGAGGGAGTAGCTGAGGGCACAGCAAACAGGACTGGGCCCAGGGTGGTCACTGTTGGTGTGATCTGGGTGCCTCTCACCTGCGGCAGGGGAGTCCACATACTGGCTTGAGAGGGGGTGGTGGGAGAGTCTCAAAATCACCCTGGGATGTGGGCCTGCTCTGGTGGAAAGAGTGGACTTTCAAGTCAGAGAGAATCCATACTGCTATGCAATCTTGGACTTGTGACTTAACCTCTCTGAGCCAGTCTTCTCAGCTAGAGAGTGGTCATAACTACCTCTCCCGGCTGTTGTCAGGATTCAGCAAGAAGGTGATGTAAGAGACTTCTGCCGCGGTCAGTGCACATCATACCCATTCGTGTCACCTGTATTAGTTAGTGGTTCAGAGCCTGGGGCCGCTCCAGGAGGAATGAGGGGGCACAGGAAAGTCTCCTGCAGGGGAAGGAGGGAAATCAAACCGGTTCTAGCAGTTTTGTCTTAAATGTGGTACCCTGGGCCCCACCCTGGCTCTTAATCACCTCAGACGCTTTTAGAGACAGGAATTGTTATTGTTCAGTTGCTGAGTCGTGTCCAGTTCTTTTGCAACCCCATGGACCGTAGCCCACCAGGCTCCTCTGTCCATGGGATTCTCCAGGCAAGAACACTAGAGTGGGTTGCCATTTCCTTCTGCAGGGGGTCTTCCCGAGCCAGGGATCGAACTCGGGTCTCTGGCACTGGCAGGCAGATTCTTTACTACTGAGCCACCTGGGAAGCCCAGAGACAGGAATGCCTGGACCGTATGGATCCCTGGGTCAGGGGTGGGATCTAGGATAGGACCCGGGCAAGGACGCAGGTGGCTGGGGGAAGGGCAGGATTCTGAAACCTAAACAGGTGTCCCCAGTGAGCAACCACGGCTGGGAACACTTGGCTGAGAGACCTTCCCCCAGTTACTTCCCACTTTTTCGACTTCCTCTGGGGCATGGGACACCCATGCCACCCCCCACATCTGTTGGTTGCTGGTTGGCCCAGCCAAATGCCAGCCCCGGGGATGAGGACCGATGCAGGTGCGGCCCCCTCTGCAGCCATCCGGGCGCAGTACTGTCATCCGAGGCTCCTAGGGAAAAACGCTGCCGCCGAGGCCCACCCCAGCCCCCAAAACAGGAGGCTCCCCAGGGATGTGGCCTGGGAATCTGCACTTTGCATGTCCCCGCTTTACACAAATAGACATTGCTTCTGAAAATTCACCTCTCTTATTTTGTAAATCTCTTTATCCTCAGAACCCCAGAGTCCCTTTCTAAAGAAATGCCGTGGTAAACTCTTTTGAGATGAGAACAATCTCCCTCATCTGTTTTGTAGCCCAGGTTTTTGCGTTGGTGTAGTTCACAGGGGGCCCTCCCGTAGGGCTGATGGAAGGGAGGAAAGGAGGAGGAGGGACCTGGGGTCCCGGGGCGCACCAGGGGAGGCGAAGCAGCCTGTGGTGAAGCTGGGGGTGGGGGCAGACCCGGGGCTGCGAGGAGAGGCTGGGGCTGGGGAGTGGGGTGCACACGGCTCTGGGGTTCAGGGGTTGTCCTGGCTCTGCCCCCTCTCCGTGTGTGATCCTGGTCAGGGCACTTGGCTTCCTCAGCACCGAGATGTGAGCAGGAGAGGTGCCGCCAGCAACCCCACGTGGTGATGGGGCGGGGGCGGAGGCAGCTCTCCGAAGCTGGGCCGGCCTTGGGCACAGGGGGACCTCCCAACCCCGCTGGGCTGTGGAGGGGGCCTCGGGGAAGCAGAATTCCCCCCAACGCTGCCTGCCTCTCCCCTGCCCCCAGCTCTCCCCAGGCTCCGAGGAGGACGAGGCCCACGAGGGCTGTAGCCGAGAGAACCTGGGCCGGATCCAGTTCAGCGTCGGCTACAACTTCCAGGAGTCCACGCTCACCGTGAAGATCATGAAGGCCCAGGAGCTGCCGGCCAAGGACTTCAGTGGCACCAGCGACCCCTTCGTCAAGATCTACCTGCTGCCAGACAAGAAGCACAAGCTGGAGACCAAGGTGAAGCGGAAGAACCTGAACCCCCACTGGAACGAGACCTTCCTCTTCGAAGGTGAGGCCGTGCCGCCCCCGCCCCCAGAGTCCCCTCTTCCCCTTGGCTGTCCCCCACACTGCCCAGGCACACACACACACAGATGACCACATGCACAAACACACTTGTACAGATACACACACACACAGGCCTAGTAGCTCAGCCCAGTTACCCTGATGCATTTCATGTCCGGCTGGGATGAGGTTACAGGGCTGAGTGGAGCCAGCATCACAGCCAGAGGGCAAGGAGGAAAGCTGGGCCACTGCCCGGACCCAGGACCCATCCTCAGGCATGCAGGAAGGAGGGGAGGTAACCGCAGGATCCAGAGGAGGAACGCCTGCAATGACCATAGTGTAGGGAGTAAGAGCCCAGGCTGTGGCCCAGGCTGCCTGAGTTCAAATCTCAGCTCTGCTACTTGCTAGCTGTGTGACCTGGGGCAGGTTCCTAAACCTCTCTGTGCCATGGTTTCCCCATCTGTAAAATGAAGATAATAGTGAGGGTTAAACAAAATCAGCGAATGGTAAAAGCACTCACAACACCCAGAAAACACTTCATATCCGTTTGTTAAACACCCTTTGGCCGGGTGACAGCCAGCTCACCCACTAAATAATTCCTTCAGGGTGAGCTAGTGGGTGCTTGTTTGTTTCTCCCCTCCTCAGTTCTGCATGGGGTCCTCAGTTCTGCATGGGGTCCTCAGTTCTGCATGGGGGCCCGTTTAGAGACCGCATAACCAGTGAGAGGCTCAGCTGTCTGCTGGTGTAGGTGGCCAGCTTGTCGGGTGAAGTTTAAGGGCAGAGCCTCAATCCACTGATCCCTTCTGCAAACATTTACCCAGCATCAACTATGGGCTGGGCACTGTCCTGGGCACTAAGGGTACAGAATGAGGCACCATTATGACCCTTAAGGCATTCCTTGGAAAACACAGATGTGTAGATAATTAAACCATACATTGCATGGCAGATGCTGCAAGACTCCAATGTAAACTCCTGTTGGTGACACTGAAAACTTTCTCAGAGGCAGGGTCATTCATAATGGGTTTTGATGGATGAATAGGAGTTTTCCAGATAGGAGGCTGGTGTTGAAGAGAGCTGACTCAGGTTCAGGGACTTCTTTGAGCCTTCAACATTTCCAGTACACTTGTCTGCATGCATTTCACCAAAACAGATGCCAAAGGTCACCTAGGGAATTCCCTGGAAGTCCAGCGGTTAGGACTCCATGCTTTCACTGGTAAGGACCTGGGGTCCAATTCCTGGTTAGGGAACTAAGATCCCATAAACTGCATGGTGAGGCGAAAACAGTCACTTGAACAGGTGCCTGGGGTACTCCAAAGTGAGCAAGACACAGCCCATGGCCCCCCTTAATATGGGCCCCCTCTCAAGAATTCAGAAGCTGGAGTCTCAAGGGACAAAGAATTTCCTCCTCGAGTGCACCTGCTCCTATCAGAGGCAACTCTGTGCTTCTTGCATCTTTGGTGGAAGGCACTAGAATCCTGCAGAACTCTTCCTCTCCCTTCATCTTCTCCACCAGCTGAGCCAAGATCTTAAGTATTCTCTCTCCTTCCTGCTCACACCCTGGTTCAGGATCGCATCTCCTGAGGCCTCCAGGCTGGCCCACACCCCCGGCCCTCCCAGGTCAGCTATCAGCTCTTCCTCCTACTAAGCCTCCCAAAGCCCAGTGACTGTCAGGCTTCAGACCTTCCTCTGGCTCCCCAGTATCTTCCATCTTGTCCCAGCGCCTTGCCCTGGCCCTCCGCTCTGGCCTGAGGTTCTGTTCCAGCCCGGAACACTCCAGCTGTTCCATCAGGCCCTTTCACGGGCATTTGTTCAATGATTGATTCGCTTAACAAATATTTAATCGAGTGCCTACTACAGTATGCCAGAAATGGTGTTAGACGCTGGGATCCGGTGGTGGCTGAGGACAGAGATGCCTTCCTGGAAATTCTAGCCTACTGGGAAAGCCAGACTCAAGGAAACATAAATCTCTAGTGCAGCCTGTGATAAGTGCTGCGAAAGGAATGGGCTAGTGTATAAAACAGGAGATCCAAGCCCCTCTGGGACGTTGGGAAAGAAAGCTGAGACCTGACGGGAGAGGATAGGCTGAGACACGGCGTGGTGGGGCCAGGGCAAGAAAAGCCAGGGTGGCTGGAGCCCAGTCATTGAGTGAAGAGCGGTCACGAGGTGAGCTGGGAGAGGACAGCGGGCCAAATTATAGAAGGACTTGAAGCCGTGGCAGGGCACCCGGCTTTTATCCTAAGTGCACTGGGAGACATTGAAAGGCTTTAAGCCGGAGAGTATCATGATGTGATTTCTATTTTTAAAAGCTCACTCTGGCTGCTGTGTTGAGAATGGGCTCTAGGAGAAAGCTCACGAGCAGGGAGGGCTGTTTGGAGACTCTTGTGACTGTCTGGGCAAGAGGTGACAGTGGCTTGGACGGGAAGGTGGCAGTGGAGACCGGGATGCTGCTGATCTGTTGAGGAAGGACGGAAGGACAGAAGGACAGAAGGATGGGCTGATGCATTCGCGGGAGGCTAGGGCGAAAACGCAGAGTCCTGAGACAGGTGTCTGGTGCTGTTTCTCCACGTTTGCCATTTCCCTCTGTCCTGTGTCCTCCTGGGTCTTGCTTTCTGGCAGCTCTGGCCATCTCAGGCAGGGCCACATGCCCAGGCTTTTCTCAGGATGATTGGCAGCTGCAGGACTGCCCAGAAGGCAAGGGGGGCCACTGCCCGGCTGCCAGGATGGACTCGTGATGAACGAGTGAATGAATGGTCTGCTCCTGATTAGCTGTGGGTCTTTGGGCCGATAATGTAAGCCATCTGAGCATCAGTCTCCTCATCTGTAAAATGGACACTATACCATCTACCACACAGAACTGTCCAGGGAGACAGATGAGACGGTCCTTGCTGACACTCAGGGAGGTCTGAGTGCACATGTTCCTGCCCCAGAGCACTGCCCCGCCTGGGCTCCCTGTGGCCGCTCCGTCCTGCTCCTCACCTGCACTGTCTGCCCCCAGGTTTCCCCTACGAGAAAGTGGTGCAGAGGGTCCTCTACCTCCAGGTCCTGGACTATGACCGCTTCAGCCGCAACGACCCCATCGGGGAGGTGTCCATCCCCCTCAACAAGGTGGACCTGACCCAGATGCAGACCTTCTGGAAGGATCTGAAGCCATGCAGCGATGGGAGTGTAAGGCCCTACCTGCAGGTCCCTGGCTGGGGAGCTAACAGACCAGGTCCTGGTTGTTGTTCAGTTCAGTTCGGAGTCATGTATGACTCTTTATAACCCCATGGCCTCCAGCCCGCCACTCTTCCCTGTCCTTCACTATCTCCCAGAGTTTGCTGAAACTCATGTCCATTGAGTCTGTGATGCTTTGCGACCTCATGGACTGTAGCCCACCAGGCTGTCCATGGAATTCCCCGGGCAAGAATACTGGAGTGGGTTGCCATTCCCTTCTCCAGGGAATCTTCCCCACCCAGAGACTGAACCTACACTTCCTGTCTTGCATTGCAGGGGGGTTCTTTACCATCTGAGCCACCGGGGAAGTCCAGATGGGGTCCTAGTCCCTCCTCAATGGAAGGGAATCAGGAAGGTTGTGGGCGGGGTGGGTCGGTGGGGCCTGGCAGACCCGAGTTCCCACCAGCCGTCTCAAGGCCAGTGCCAGTGCTAGTGCTCAGCACTTGGGGAGCCTGGGCAGTGATAGAGAGCCTGGGGAGCAGGGCCCAGAACTGCCAGATGAAGGGAAACCAGCTATGCAGCTGTGACGGGGGGGTGGGTAAGCACCCAGGTGCAAGGGGAGGGGTCCCCTGGTCCCCACGGCCCTCTTGTTCTCCCTCTCAGGGGAGCCGAGGCGAGCTGCTCCTGTCTCTCTGCTACAACCCCTCTGCCAACTCCATCATTGTGAACATCATCAAAGCCCGGAACCTCAAAGCCATGGACATCGGGGGCACGTCAGGTGCTGGCGCCTCTCACGGCCGGGGGCGGATGGGCCAGGGAGCTTCTGGTGCACACGAGTCATGCTGGATGTGAACAGCAGGGTCCTGGCTGTGGGCTTCACCCCCGACCCCCAGGCCCCACCTCCAGTCCCCACGCCTTTACACTAGAGCCCTGGTGGCCACTTTTGGAGTACCCCCAGGGTCAGCATCATCTTGAACTCTGCCCTGCTCAGGATCGGGAAGAAAGTGAACACGATGGTGGGGGGGACTTGGGTTCTAGCCCCAGCTCCGACACGTCTTATCTGTGACCTCAAGTGAGACCTGGGCCTCTCAGTCTTCCCGTTTGTGTCCCCAAAAGGGCGCTAGGCAATGGCCACAGTCCCTGGCAGCTCCTCCATCTGCTGATGCCCCGGGTCCCCCCACCCCGCTTCATCCTTGGGCTTTCCTCACCCCGCAGGGAAAGTGCACAGCCCTTCCTGCCCGAGCTTCCCCTCTCCACTCTGACCCTTCCCCCTGGTGTCCCCCAGACCCCTACGTGAAGGTGTGGCTGATGTACAAGGACAAGCGGGTGGAGAAGAAGAAGACGGTGACGATGAAGAGGAACCTTAACCCCATCTTCAACGAGTCCTTTGCCTTCGACATCCCCACGGAGAAGCTGAGGGAGACGACCATCATTATCACCGTCATGGACAAGGACAAGCTCAGCCGCAACGACGTCATTGGCAAGGTAGGAGGGGGAGCGCCTGGCAAGGGTGTGTCCTTAAAAGGAGCTGCCGGGGGTAGTGAGTGAGCGCAGGGCTGGACAGCAGGAGGGAGAGGGGGTCGGTCTCTCTGTTTCTTCTGAAAAGGAGAGGATTGGTCGAGATTTGCCCCTCAGCGTCCTCCCATGGGTCCATCAGTTCAGGACAGACCACTGGAAGAGCAGGGAAAGAAGGAAATGATAGGGAAAAGTGTCCTGGGTTCCCCAAAGAGGGTTTTCTGGGCAGGACCGTCTGACAATGTAAATCAGTGTCGCCCTGGGTTCTGTCTGCAGAGGGTGAGCAGCCTGGGGCTTGCGTTGAGAGCTGTAGTCAGGCTCCGAAGACCTGGCTTCGGTTCCTCCCTCCTCTGCTCTTCCACAGCTGTAGGACCTTGCCTTTCTGAGCCTCAGTGTTCTCGTTTGCAAAATGGAGCTTTGCAGGGTATTGGAAGAACTGCCTGAGGCATGTGGACATTCCCCTTGCAGAAACTGACCTCTCTTTATCATATACTAACCGAAAGTCCATGCCTGGCCTTGAGTTTTTCCAGGATGCAATTCTGTACCGTAAACCCATCTCTCTTCTACTTTGAAATGTCTATTCCTTTGTTTGGCTATGGCTTAGTGTTGGGAGTGTGGGCTTGAGAGTCATCCTCCCTGGATCCAGGGCCCAGTTCTACCTCTTGACAGTCATAACGTTTATGAGCCTCATTTTTTCCTCTTGAAATGAGAGTAAGACAAACCTAGCCTCACAGGGTGCTGGGAGGATTAAATAACAGTCAAGATGCTTAACATAGCACATAGAACATGTATGTTAGCTATTATCGTAATGAAGGTTATTACTGAAAAGTTCCCAGTTAGGGCACGGGTGTCCAATCAGGCATGGAGGTTTGACCAGGAACAGTGCAGGAAGTCGGTTGATCAGGTAGGTACGGGGAAGGGAAGATGCCAGGAGCAAGTGAGGGGAGAACGTGGGTCACCCAGGGGGATGGCCCAGTATGAGGGAAATGGGAAGTGGCCTGGGCACCCACAGGGAAGGGGGCCGAGGTGGAGGCACCCCTTCAGACAGACAGGAATGGAGAACCTAGCTACTGGAGGTGGGAAGGAAGCAGCTGGCCCCAAAGAGGCGAGCTGGCCCTGCCGGCCATCCCGCAAGGCCCAGGGAGTATGTATGACTTGCTGACCTGTGGTCTCAGGTGGGACGGGTGCCCAGGACAGCATCGCCCACATCCCAATGGGACCATGAATGCTGAGCCCTTCCTTCACCAGCTTAGTCTTTTCTCAAGCTTAGCCTTTTGGAGTTGGGTGAGTCCTACCTTCTGATGGCTGAACCAAGATAAAGGTGGATTTGTTCTTCCTTTGGCCCAGGTAGCTTAGGGAGCCCTATGCTCTGAGCTAACCGCCAGTCACAAGGCTGAGCTTAGCCAGGGGACCACACACACAGCCCCCCTGAGGCTGTGAAGCTTCTAACATGGAGGCAGGTAGGATTAGGTTGATAGTATAAAGTCCACAGGGTCTCCAAGACTCAGACACATCTGAGTGACTGAACAACAACAAATGAATCCCCAAAGACCTAGATTTAAATCCCTCTGCATCACTCATAAATCCTGTGACCATGGGTCAGTCTCTTAACTCCCTGCACCTTAGTTTCTCCATCTGTAAAATGGGGATAATCACATACCTGCCTCACCAGGAAGGATTTGATGATCTGTGTATGCAAAGTCCCTAGCTCAGCGCCTGGCAGGTAGTAAGTGCCTATGAAGTGTGGGAGTGTTTGTTAGACAGTACCCAGCAGGTAGGTGGGGGAAGGGCGTGGGAGAATCCTGCCTCCATCCGCATCCATCTCCCACCACAAAACTGGCTGGGAGTTTAATTCGAAAGGGCCAAGCACACCCAGGCTCCCAAGGGAAAGCATAATAAGGAAGATAGGTCAGGCTGGTGGGGTGGGGTGGGTGGGATAGGAGGGACCTCTGTAGAGTAGGTTGTCACTGCAGGCAGAGACCCCCTTGGTCCCCACGATCACAAGCTAGGGTGCCACCGTGGACATGGTGTGTCACCACCAGTGGGGGAAGGGGCAGGGCCTCAGAGGGTGCCACTAACGCCTCCTCTTCCCTCTCTCCCCAGATCTACCTGTCCTGGAAGAGTGGGCCCGGGGAGGTGAAACACTGGAAGGACATGATTGCCCGGCCCCGGCAGCCTGTGGCCCAGTGGCACCAGCTGAAGGCCTGAATGGGGCCAAGGGAGCCCCAGGGGGCCGAGGGCCCAGGTCCCCATCACGCCCTCACCACTTTATGCACAAGGCCCGGCCTGGCCCGCCCCCAACCACGGGTGAGGGAAGGATCCCGAGGGCTTGGCCAGGGAGAGGTCCCAGGAACCAGTCGGGCCCTGCTTCTAGGGAGCACCAGCCCCATTCCCCACCGGTCCAGCTCTGGGGGAGGGGCTCTGGGAGCCATTTTCCTGCTTTGCCCCTTTCCTTCCTGACTTGCTGATACTCAAGAAGCGGGGAGGTGAGCTTGAGAGCCAGAGGGCAGATCCCTCCAGAGGCCCGCCAGGTGGGCACGGTCCCCCCCCCCGTTTTCTTTAAGGCAGCGCCTGGAGTGGAGGAAGGCCGCCCCCTCCCCCGCCCCCAACGTGGGCCCAGGAGAGGGGAGGTCGAGGCGTTTGGCCCGGCCTGGCCTGACCGAGAAAGAGGCCTGTTCCAGGGCAGTTTCAGGAGCCGGCTGGGCCCTGAATGCCGAGGATAGTATATAGCCTGCTCCGGGGGTCCTGGAGCCTCAGCCCTGTGTACTTGTGTTGTATCCACCGTGCGTGTGTACTGTGTGTGTGTGCGCGTGCACATGTGGGGGTGGCAGCACAGGCTCCCTGTGTCCCTGGGGCCCACGTGCTGAAGACAATGCAGAGAGGACAGGGTTATAACCCGAGGCGGGCTGGAGGCTTGAGAAGTCAAGGCGCAGAGCTAGGGAGTGGGAGAGGAGAGGCAGGTGAGGGGGGGATGAGGTGAGGCAGGGATGGAGGAAGAGAGGGTTGGGGAAGAGGGGTAGAGAGGAGCTGGGCTGCGACCTGGGCTCTGTCCTTCTCCTCCCGCCTCCCCAGAGCTCTCCACCAGCTCCCTCCCCAACAATGTCATCTCTTGAGCATCTGTTCATGCCTTTTAGGCACCCACTGTGTATATCACATTCCACCTCTGCTCCTTTCTGCCTCAGGGGTCCCAAGTCCCCACTAGCTCTCTTCCCTAACATCCCCATCCAAAGACACCCTCCCACGTCCCAGTTGTCACATCCCAGCCACACTAGCAGCCCTCACCACGCCTTCCAGCGTCCTTCCCCTTCCTCCTCTCTGTCTGCAGACCTCCCTGCCACACACATCCCTGCTCTCCTCCATCCCACCCCACTCCCCCACCCCCGCTCGGAGACCTTCCCTTTCATTCCACCGTGGCCTCTGTTCTTGCATCACCTGAACAGCTCCAGGGCTGCCCTCCCACCTTTCCCACCGCCCCTGGTCCCTCAGAGCAGCTCCTTCTACCCCTCGGTTCAGGCAGAGAAAGCAGAGAGCATTCCCGGATTCTGTGAGTTTTGAGGTTGCCCTCCTCCCCCACAAAGAAGCTGTGGTTTCCCTGCCTCCGCGGCTGCAGAAACCAGAACTGGCAGCCCCACGGAGAGAGAAGATTTCAGGATGATCCCTGCTTAAGCCCCCTCATCCCCACGTGTGTCCCGGTGTTGATACAAGAGAGCTGGCGACCGCCTTCGAATCCCGGGGTCCGCGCGCTTGCGCCTGACATTCCCGGAAGATGCCGCCAGGTGGCGCCCGCACACTACGGTCTGTGGACGAGGCCTAGGACCACGGCTCTACCCCAAAATGGGTCTGACACCCCAGGAAAGGAGACTCTGGAAAAGGTCCCCCACTTCGCACTGCAAAAGCATGGGTAGTTGGGAACCATGTTCCTTAAGTAGACTTCCCTTTGAGCTGAGCGTTCTGCTCACATTTTTGCCCATATCAAAAGTTTCTTACATAAACTCACGCCTTCGGCCCTACCCTTGACCCCAAGGATCTGGAGGAATATCATACAAAGTAAGTGAATCATTTTGTAGAGTGAAGAGTGCTAACGTAAAGCAAGTAGTCACACACATTCCTTGTAAATCCCAATTTTTCTATATTGTAGCTTTGCTTAAAATGGGGGTCTGCCCTCATGGCACGGCCCTTATCGGGCAGGCCCGGGGAACTAACCCCCAGCGGGGAGGGAGGGCAGCGGCTCCGGAGACAGTGGAAGCGAAGAAAAGTTGCTGTTGGAAGCTCTGGGAAGCGGAGGGGCTCTGCCAGCCTCCATCCCGCCCTCAAATCCTGTGCCCCTGCACCCCGAGGCCGGTGGGAGAGCAAGCCCCGCCCCGGGTCCCCTTGCCTACGACAGAGCTCTCGGGAATTGAACCAACTAGCACTGAGCGGGCGGGGCAACTGGGTCCCCGTTTTCCGAGCCCCGCCCACGAAGCTCTTAGCCAATCACATGCAGAGAGCATCACCGGGCCCTGCCTATTCCAAACCTGACCGCACCCAGGGTCGCGCAGCCATGAACCCCGCCTGGGATTCTCCAACCCCGACGTGCAGCCTGAGCTCTGGGACGCGGGGGAGGGGTGGCAAGCGGCGGGCCAAGGGCAAGGTGCGCTAGCAAGGGAAGAGGCGGGAGGTATGGGTGAGGGCCGGGGAGGTCTAAGGCTTTAGGGAACAGAGAAAGGGGGAAGTTGAGGGTGGAGGGAGGGCACTGCCCTGTCACCATCCCAGGACCTTGGACAGATCACCCACACTCCCGGGGCCTCAGTTTCCCCATCTGTAAAATGATGGTAATAATACTTCACCTACCTCATGGGGGAGGTTGTAAGGCCGCCGTCACCTGACCTGGGGGTGGAGGCAGGAGGATTCTGAAGGTGCTACCCGCGAGCAAAGTATTATTACCGCAACCTGAAGGCAAGGCCCGCCTGCCCCTCCCGCACAGAGCCTCCAGAGATAGCTGAGGCCGGCCTGGGCCCACCTATCTCTTCTCCACTGTGTTCCTGCTCCCTTCTTGAGCGTCATCCACCATCTTTGTGGGCACCCTAGAGTTAGTCGTTATCTTGTTCAGGTATCCTTTTTTGTGACCATCACCCCACGTAACTGCTGTATAAATTCCACCTGCCCCAGGACCCCGCACCTGCCCACCGGCGCTAGACGCCAGGGAAGGGACAAGGAAAACAGCCACACAAAAAGCCAAGGGGAGTCCCCAGAGTCCCCAGTCCTGCTGGGGCCCCAGGGGTGGGGATTGGTGGTTTCTGTTTGTATTGTGTTTGAGTCCTTGAGCGCAAGTGTTTTATAAAAAACAAAACAAAACAAAAAAAAAACTACGACAAAAACCCACCGTCTCACACACAAAAAAAAAATTGCAGCGAAGAGAAATGAAGAAAAACTGAAGAAAAAAAGGGGGAAAAAAAAACATACAAAATTTTTCCACCACATGCACCCTCTAAGCCAGCAAGATTTCCTCTTTGCAAAATCATATTTTTGTGGGGATGGGCCCTGCTTTTTGTGGCAAGGCCCATTCTGATTAATAAAGGATCGTGAAAAAGTAGGGCCTTGGCTGTTTCCTCCGTGGGTCCTAGCCCTCCGCTATCTCCCAGGGGAAGAGGAAGTGGGGGATGGGGATGGGGAGCCTGGAGCCAAGTCTCCCCTCACCTGTCACCTTTGGGATTCGGCTTCACTTGATGAGGCCCTTCTAGCTTATCTCCAGGTTGAGAGTATGAACCCACCAGCTACCCAGAAAGCCAGGAAGCAACCATACCCCCTGGATCAAGCCTAAAGCAAGGCTTATTGGGAGTGGAGTCTCCTTAGGGCTTACAGGGTGCCCCTCTAGTTCACCCAGCCCAACACCCCCTCCCCACAGTTCCCAGGGGACCCTCACCACCCTCCATGGCAGGTGAGACAAACCAAAGGGAGACCCTTCGCCTCCCCCACCACCAACGTGAACTCTGACAGGGCCACTGTGGTTTCAGGCCAATGTGTCCTCTCTGTGTTCCCTGTGGAGTTCTGGGTCTGTTGCCTGGACCGGAGCCTTCTCTCCACCCTTTTCTGGTTTCATCCTTTAGGATTAGAGAAGTCTCAACTCAAAAGCGCCCAAGGCAAGTCCCAGCCTGAGGACCTGGGAAGCTGGGCCCCAGTAGACACAGAGGCCCCGGGGCAAGCTGTTTCCTTCCTCCTGGTCTGAGTTACCTCCATCCACAGAAGAGCAATAACCATCCCTGCCCTTTCTCCTTCCCTCCCGCACACAGCCCAGAGGAAACTGAGGCTTGGCAGCTCTCCAGGTGCTTTCAGAAGGAAAGTGCTACACCTTTTATGGGCACACAGGCAAGGAGAGCCCTCCATTGTCGTGTGTCCACCCGCTGGCCCCTGCCCACTCCTACTAGAGGGGTCACCTCATCTCTTGCTCCCCCGCACCTGGGGCTGGCAGCTTTCTCCTCACTCTGCACTAGTAACTCCCACCTGAAGCTGCCCACCCTCTCCCCTTCTGCCCCATAGTGACAATATGGTTTAAATGTCTCTGGTTCAGAGGTTGGAGGGAGCCCTAGGGTCAGGTAAGTAAGCCTCACAAGCAGTTCTTGCCAGGACTTCTGCTCAATCTGGAAAAACTAGGCTAAAAAGCAGGACAGCTCGGCCCAGCAGAGGTGACAGCCCCTTGCCGTGGGCTCCAAGCCTCCCTCCTCCTGCATTTCTGTCTTTCTCCTGCCTTCACTTTGTGGGGTTTCTCTTCATCCCTGCCTGCAGAGGCTCCCCCATCCTTCCCTGTGCCTGGGACCGCTGCCCTCTGGTCTCTTTCTCCTGCAAGTCCCTCTTGGATTCCGCTGCTTTCTGGAAGGCCGTCTCAGGCCACGTCCCACTCTCCTCTCCCTCCCCAACAAAGACAGCCAGAAGGACAAGACTTGAACACGCTGTATGCCCCCTCCGTGGCTCCCTGCCCACCTGTCTCCCTTGAAGATGCTCTGCTCCCCGTGTCTGTGTCCTGTGTGTTTGTGCTGTGTCACCTTTAGATTGTGAGCCCCACACCTGGGGCAGGGACCCCTGTCTGAACACATGTTCTGCGTGGCACACTCGGGTGTGCTAATAAATGTCCATTCTGAGAACAAGAGTGCCCCGGTGTCTGAAGGAAGCTTTGGGGCGAAGGCTGAGCAAGCCCATGTGATGGCACTGGAAGCAAGGGAGGTGCTTGTGGGCAGGGCCCCCAGTTTCTGAGCACCCTGTTCTCCTGCTTTCTGAAGCGGGAAGAGGGGGATGGTGGTAGTGAATCCAGGAAGACATCCAGTCTCTGCTGCTGTGCCGGCTGGGAGGGCTGGCTGTTGGGGGGCTCCGAGAGGGAGAGAGACTATGATTCCCAAACCCAGACCTGACCACCAGCCACAGGCAGGTAGCATCTGCCGTGGCTTGGACTGAGCACTGGGTTAGGAGACCTAACATTCACTTATGGGCAAGTCACTTACCTCCCTGGGCTGCTCCTTGCCCTGTTGCTGCCTCTGCTCTTGTCTCATCACCATCCCCACAGCCTGCCTCTGCCCTGCATCCCTGGCACTAACACAACTCTTCCGGGGCTTCCCTGCCCTGCTCGGCCACGATCCACCCACCCCTGACTGTCCCCCCAACAACGTGGGGAACCAGTGACCTGGCCATTGTTATAAGTGCCCCTATAAAAATCATCTCCCTTTCTCCCTGCTCCTCCAAGGCCAAATGAGAAGTCACAGGCAGCTGGGGAGTGGGGAGCAGGTGGGCCGGGGGGAGGGACCACCGGCTCTGATGGAACTTCAACAGGGCGAACGTGGCACCTGAGGGTCTCTGGGAGGGACACAGTCTGCAGCCAAACTCCAGGTTCCTTTTCTTCCTTAAGGAGGCAGCCTCTAGTCTTCCCCACTCTCTCCCAAGCTGATTCCTTCAGATCCATCCCTGGCGTCCTCCTGATCCGCAGGCCCAGCCCAGTGGCCAGTGAGCCGCTGGGCCAAGCCTGACCTTTGGGCCTCATATGACATTATCCCTGTTGCCATGGTGATGGTGGCTTGGCAGCATCTTCTCATGGGACATGGGCCTCTAGGTTTGAGGTTTTACAATTTTCTCTCTTTTTTAAAAAAACTATTTAACCTTTTTTCCCTCCCCCTTAACAATGAGGAAAGAAAGTAATGACTGAGTTTAAAAAAAAAAAAAAGACTAAAAGGAAGAAACAGAGATAGGAAAATGGAGCCAGAGAGACGGAAGGAGGGAAGAATAGTAACAGATGGGGAGGAACAGGGTCAGTACCAGTGAAAGAATAGAGAAAGGTCAGCCCAGCCTGAGATTCAAAAATATATTAAGAGTCAGGAACGAAGCTGGAGAAGACCGGGGAGGGGAGGCTGGGGGTGGATGGGGGGCAGTGGCCAGGTGGCAGAAAGAAACAGCCAGACGGAAGAGCAGTCTCGAGCAGCCAAAGCCATTTGTGACTGAAGACAAGCTCTCCTGCCCCAGACAGGACACAACAGTTGGCTGGGGCCACTGTGACGCAGAGCTGGGGCACATGGACGAAGGGCAGTGCCAGGGGCAGCCCAGAGTCCCCACAGCAACAGGCCCCAGTGCTCCCAGGGCTTATAAATAAACAGGCATGTGGGAAACGCACATTCTTTCTCCAAGAAATATAATTTATGTTTACAGCCAGTTTTTTGGGTTTTTTTTTTCTCTCTTCCTAAAGAAAACACCACCATGTGGGGCCCCCGCCCCAGACAGTGTCCCTGAGTGGCCCTGGCCCTGGGCCTTCCTCCCATTATTGCTCAGATGGGAAAGATCTGACCCTGGGAACTGCAGAGCAAAGCCTCATTCCTCACCCCCTGGAGGCTGTCCTGGTGACGGAGAGGAGGCACACAGGGCTCGTCCCCTGCCCCGCGCCCTGCCAGCCACCCTGACGCTGCCCATTTAAGGGAATGGAGAGTCCAGGCGGTGGCTACCCAGGAGCAGCCGCCCAGAGCAGAGAGCCTCTCTCTGGGTGCAGGAGGCCCCGGAGGCACAGTGGCTTCTTTTCAAACCCAACAGCTGGAAGGCTCAGGCCGTGGGGAAGGGAGGGCCTGTTCTCTTTGCAGCAAGATTCCGGACACAAGCTGGGAGACGAGAACAGAATAAAAGGCAGGGGCAGAGACCTGGCCTTCTGGCTGCACCCCCACCCCCACCCCTTCCCCACACAAAATTTAGGAAGCCTGGAGAGGGAGGTATGTACCATGAGCCCCGGTGGAGGGGCCAGGGCAGCTGTGGTGTTTCATCCCCAACCCCCAGCTCCCACACCTGTCTGTCCTGGGCACAGGCTCCAGCTCCAAGCCCCCCGCCTGTGCGCTAGGCCTTCTGTTGGAACTTCTGCCTCATGCAGGCATGTGGTCCACCCCAGAGGTAGCGGCTCCTGCGCCAGAAAGGGCGGACCTAGAAGATCCAAACTCTGGGCGGAGGTGGGGGCCCTGGGCATCCAGACTCAGCCGAGGAGATGATTCCGTGGTCAGTGGTGACCCTGGTTCCAGGAAGAAGCTGGTGCTTTTATTGTGTTGTCAGTGACTCTATCAGGGGCCAGACTGAGCTATGGATGGAGGGAGCTGGGACTTCTTGGCCTGACTACCTCCCAGGGACCAGCCGCGAGGCAGTTTTCTCATCACCCTGGAATGTCTGAAGATGGCACCCAGGCCTGCCTGTCCCTATCAGTGTACCCAAACTGACCCCTCCTCTGCCCCCAAGTAGGGACCCACCGTTCCCATGAACTTTCCCGGAACCCCTCCTCCCAGACTGGCCGACGCACAGGCTCAGGTGCCCAGTCCAGGAGCTGCTTCCAGGGCGCGGAGGCTGTCCCCGGGGGCCCGCAGAGCCCGGGAGCTACCGCCCCCTATGAGCAGGTCTTCTTCTTCCTCATCCTCAAAGGCCCGCGCTGGGCGCCGGGGCGGCGGCCGGGGCGTGGGTTCGTCCCGCTCAGCCATGCGCTCGACGGCGCCCTCGCCCACAAGGAAGACCGTGTCGGCCACCCGTGGGGGGCCAGTGACCGGGTTGTGGTCGTAGGAGAAGACGCGCAGGGCGCGCAGCGGGTGCAGGTCTGGGAAACCGCCCAGGCGGTTGCGGTCTAGGTCGAGGATGTGCAGGCGGCCCATGCGCAGCAACGCGGGCGGGAATTCCTCGAAGCGGTTGCCGTAGAGCCAGAGGCCGCGCAGGCCCGTCATGCGCGGCAGCTCCGCGGGCAGCGCGCGCAACCGGTTGTCGCCCATCTGCAGCGACTGCAGCGCCACCAGGCGCAACAACGGCCGCGGGAAGCGCCGCAGGAAGTTGCCCTCGATCCAGAGGCAGCGCAGGCTCTGCAGCTGCGCGAAGTCGGCGGGCAGCGCCAGCAGCCGGTTGCTGCCCAGGTACAGGCGCGTAAGGCGCGGCAGGCGACAGAGACCGTCGGGCAGGCGCTCGAGTTTGTTGAAGTCAAGCGCCAGAATGCGCAGCTCGCGCAGCTCCTCGATCTCCTCCGGCAGCTCGCGCAGCCCCGTGCCGCTCACGTACAGCTTCTGCAGGCGGCTCAGCGCGCACACGGCGCTGGGCAGCCGCCGCAGCCGTCTCCCGCTCAGCTCCAGCTGCTGCTCGCCGTTGCGCAGTTGCTCCTCGGCGTCCGACGGCAGCTCGTCCGGGGTAGACTCGGCGATGCCCATGGTCACCAGCCCCGGGCGGGGCCGCCGCCGCCGCCGCCGCCCGGCATCGCCCCGCCCCGGCGGCCCCCGGGCCTCCTAGACGGGGCCGAGGCCGCGCTGGCTCCGGGGCCCCCCGCCCCGGCCTGTCCCTGCTCCGGGAGGGGGGCCGTGCCGGGCGGGGAAGAGGCGCCCCTCTGGGGCCCCGCCGCAGCGCGCCGCGCTCGGCCGCCCGCCCTCCGGCCTCCGCCGCTCCCTCGGCTGGAGGCCGACTGGTTCGGGTTAGCGCGGATTCTTAGCTTGGAGACCCGTCGCCCTGGCAACCCCCGACGCGCGCGCGGCTGCCAATGAAGTGGAAGGAGTGCGGGGCGGGGCCAAGGTGCAGCTGAATTGGGTCCTGGAGTCCCGGCCCACCGCCCGCTTTCCCACCCGTCGGGCCCCGGAGACAGCACTAACCCAGGAACCCAAGAACACCGCAAGCCTGGTGCCGTGCCAACACAAGCCCGACGACTGACGCTGTCTACGCTTCCAGCCACAGCGAGCCGTTTGCTGTGCAGTTTGTAGGCGCCCAGAGCTCCAAGTCCAAGAAGGAAGCAAGGACTGAGGAAATGCCGGAACGCGACCCAGGACTCTGGACAAGTTGGCTCTCCAGGAGGGACTGAGAGGCGAGCTCAATGCCCGCCGTTCGTGTCCAGCGGCGTGCGTCCAGTCTTCCCGCTATGGTCACGTTAGGGGAGTAACTCAGAACAGTGCTTCTTTCTGGGCTTTTTCAGGGTGGGTCACAACTGAGGATCTGGCGGGGACCCAAGCTTGGCTCCATCCCCCTCCCCGCCGGGTACACCCTCTGCGCGCTGCAGGTTCCGGTTAGTACACTCACCCCTTCTGCCGAGTTCCTCCACCTGTGCTCAAGGTCAGTGGGTGACTGCAGTGGACAGAGGACTAGAGCACACGAGCGCCTTTGAGCACCACCAACGGTGACCACACTCGTTCTGTAACGCTTCCTCTTTCACATGCTCTCACCAGCAGCCTTTTTGCCCCTGACTTCTCCCCTCCTACTCCAAGCCCTCCTGCTAGAGCTGCCAGCAGAAACACTCCCTCTGGTTTATTGCCAGCCTCTCATGTGCCCAACACTGTACTAAAAGCATTGCGTTGAATCCTTGCCACAAACCTATGAGGTAGGTACCCTCACTGCCCTGATTTTGAAGATGGAGAAACTGAGGCTCAGAGAGGTTTGACATGAGTGGGTGACTTGCCCAGGGCTTCCCTGGTGGCTCAGCCGTAAAGAATTCGCCTGCAATGCAGGAGATGCAGGAGACACAGCTTCGATCCCTAGGTCAGGAAGATCCCCTAGAGAAGGGCATGGCAACCCACTGCAGTATTCTTGCCTGGGAAATCCCATGGACAGAGGAGCCTGGTGGGCTACAGTCTGTAGCGTCACACAGAGTCAGACACGACTGAAGTGACTTAGCATGCGCTCATGCACGGGTGACTTGTCCAAGGTCACCCCGCTGGCTAGTGGCTGGGATTTGAAACCAGGCAGGAGACTTCCCTGGCTGTCCAGTGGTTAAGGCTGGCGCTTCCATCGCAGGGGGCGTGGGTTCCATTCCTGGTTGGGGAATTAAGATCCTGCATGCCTCACTGCTTGGCCAAAAATAATAATAAATAAAAATAAAACCAGGCAGACTGCCTCTCCAACTTGTGTTCTTAACCATGTGTGTGTGTGTGTTCAGCCATGTCCGACTCTTTGTGACCCTATGGACTGTAGCCCGCCAGGCTCCTCTGTCCATGGGACTTCCCAGGCAAGAATACTGGAGTGGGTTGCCAATTCCTTCTCCAGGGGATCTTCCCAACCCAAGGGTCAAACCTACGTCTCTTACATCTCCTTCACTGGCAGGCAGGTTCTTTACCACTAGCGCCACTTGGGAAGCCCCTCTTAGTACTTATGGGATTAAGAATGCCTTTGTCATCAGAATTAGAGGCTTTGCCGTGAGAAAATTCATGTTCAGAAGTGGAGTCGTTACCATTTATTGGAATAGTCTTAACCATGTACCACTCCAATAAATGGAAATGACTCCACTTCTGACCATGAATTTTCTCATGGCAAAGCCTCTAATTCTGATGGTTATTAATCCCATAAGAAAGATGAGGAAAGTGGCCCCAGAGGGATTAGGCAACTTGCTGAAGGTCGCAGAGTGATGAGAGAGTACAGCCAGGGAGTCAAGTCTGCAGGCGCCAGACCTCCTCCATCCTGCCTTCCCATCTTGGCTGGTGTGATCGTGGGTTGACAACCAGCAGGGGGACTTTCTGATGGTCCAGTGGCTAAGACTCCATGCTTCCAATGGAGGGAGCACAGTTTCCATCCCTGGTCTGGGAACTAGATCCCACATGCCACAACTACGAGTTTGCATGCTGCACCTAAGACCTGGCACAGCCAAGTAAAAAAAAAAAAAAAAAGATAATTGGCCGATGGGACAGACCTCTTGCCCTTTGGCCCATCCCCATTTTTTTCCCCACTACAGGCAGGGCAGAAGGCCAGTCCAAGGGCAGATAGCAGTGGCCAATGCAAGAAGATTATGAAAACCACAACCCCTGAAATGTAAGCTGGGCGGGGCAGGCACACTTGTCTCCTTCCCTGCTGGCACAGGGTCTGGCGCATAGTAGTGGTTCAATGAAAATTGTCAACATTTTAGAAGATGAAGGGAAACTTTCCATACCATGAAATTCCTAGGCCATAAGTATACAGTCTGGTGAGTTCTGACAAATATAAACATCAAAGAATATTTCCATCACTCAGAGTTCCCTCCCACCTGCCTCTTCCAGATAATCCCCACCTCCCAGAGGCAACGGTGATCCTGACCTCCATCATCATGGATCAGGTTTGCCTGCTCTTGAATTTCATACAAATGGAATTATTCCGTGTGTACTATTTTTTTTTTTTTTTTGCTCCTGGCATCTTTTGCTCAGATGCTTGATATCTATGTGTTGGATAAAGGAACTAGAGGGCAGAGCAAGAGCAGTTGTAATCAGGCGAGGGATGTCACAGGGCGAACAGGTGCTGGGGAACACAGAGGCAGGTATTGCTCTGAGCCAGGAGCTAGCCTCGGATTACTGCCCTGGAATGAAGACTAGCAAGACGCGAGCTGAGGGAGAGGAACCAGGCAGAGGATAAGTGGGGCGCAGACACCAGATCTGGGATGGAGGAGGATTCTGAGCCCCAGGCAGTGGGATTTCAAGCTCCTTCTGGATCTCCCCAAAGCCCCAAACCAACTCTCTCTCTTCTACTCATTTGGAAGAACTTCCAGGAAGAGCTGACACCTCAGAGACCAGGAAAACCCAGCCAGGCAGCTGGGACAAGAAAGAGCGCCTCCCCATCCCATCCCACCTCCTACTGCCACCCCCACCCCCGCCAACAGTTTCCCCAAGGGAACATGTGCTGTGGAGGAGGGAGCCCAGCCAGCCCCCCTCACCACATGCTCGGGGCTGGCGCTGCAGCACCCGGCAGCCCTCTTGGGCTCTGCCAGCACGGCGGGACCCCCAAGCCCCTGCCACCCCAGCCCCAGCCTTGGCAGAGCTTCCTGGGCTCAAGGGTACAGGGGACCAGCCCTCTCCTTTGTCTCTCTCTTGCTCTTGGTAGATGCTGTACCTTCGCCTCCTACCAGGCCCTTCTCAGTGGGGAAAGGTAAAATGTACTGTCGTTCCGGGCCCACGCAGGCTGGCAGCGGGGCAATCGTGTTGATGAATCACGCCGGCGCTGTGGGCGCCCAGTCCTTGTCGAGGCGTCACTAATGAATTAGCTTCACCCCCAGCACGGGGCCTCTCAGCCTTTCCCCACTCCCTGGAAAGGCAGGAAAGTGAAACCTGGGAGCCAGGAGGGGCTCTGACAGCTCCAGGAATTCACCCAGACCCCGGCCAGCCCCTCTGCCCACACGTGCTGGAAAAATGTCCAAAGGCCCCTCAGGCCCGCTGAAATAGCCTCTCCATTCCTAGTCAGGAGCTAGAACTGTCCTGCCTGCCTCCAAATCCGTATTCTTTCTTTTTTTTAAGAAATTTTTGAAATACAGAAAACGAACAGAGCTTTCTGTGATAAACACCCCTGTGCCCAGAATCCAGCGCTAACTGTTGCTCACATTGTGTCACACTTGCTTTGTATCTAGTTTCTTTTAAATAAAAGGAAAACAACAGCACACGTAGAAGTCTCCTTTGTCGCCCCTCCTGTGCCCCCATGAGCACCCCAGGCCCCTGCCCCACTGACCCTGCCTCGACCCCTCTGGTTCCCACCCCCACCATCCCCTGTCCTAACCCCCCACCTCCCCCTCACCTCCCACTCCCCATCTTTGGAGCCAGGACCTCTGTGGCTTCTGGGACTTGAATAAGATCAAGGAATGTTGGCATCATCTGTTCTTAGAAAGCAAGGCTTTGAGCCTATTAGAGCTAACCATGATATGCCAGCCCTGGGAGGGTGCTTGGTACATCGGGAGATCACAGGTTCTGTTACGAAGCCAGGGACCCTCACCCCAGGAAAGTCCACGGAGGCAGGAACTAAACCTACAATTCTCCATCGCCTGAGGGCCTAGTCCAACTCCCTCATTTGGCCAAAAAGAAAAGTGACAATGTCCTTTGTACCATGGCCAACTCCCTTTACCTGTACCAGCCAGAACCTGAGTCCTCACCATCATTCAGGTATTCATTCAACAACCATGAAGCCCCTGCCCATCTGCCCAGACACTGGGGATGGCTATGCATGTGAACCTCAGAGACAAAAAAAAAAAAGCAAAAAACAAACCCCGCCTTTTTGGAACTTGCATTCCTATGAGTGGAGATAATCAACAAACTGCATTTGAATATGTCAGGCAATGGCCAAGTTATATAGGAGCTAAAATAAGAACAGAGGACTGAGGACCCCAGTTAAAACACAGTGGCCAGGGACTTCCCCGGTGGTCCAATGGTTAAGAATTCACCTTCCAGTGCAGGGGATGTGGGTTTGATCCCTGGTCAGGAAATTAAGATTTCACATACGTCGGAGC